CTACAAGAAAAACGCGCCAAACGAGATTACCCACATCTCCTTTTTCCATCCCGCACCCAGCCACCAGCCGCTGATACCAAGCCTCCTCCTCCAGGCTCTTGGCGACGTGGGTTTCCAACCCTATGAAGGTTTCCTGGATGGTAGACCCTTGAAGCTCACGACCGTGCTCACGCAACTGCTGGAGTCTCAATTTCAATCGAAGCTCTCTGAATATCCCCCTGAAATTCATTGCATGTCTCAATTTCAACGTCGAAGTACGTGGGGCCAAAGTTCGGGCCTGGCGAAACGGGTGGATGGCAAAGGGGGGGGCTTGAGAAGCCGCTCACGTAGCTGATGTTCCCGGCGCCTCCCGGCGCCGGGGGGCGGCCATGTATCGAGGAATGACCCCCTCGGTGGGGCCAAAACCAGCTGCACGCAGCAGGTGTCGTACCCCCCCTTTCCCTATCATCCCCTTTCGTGAGGCCCGAAGGGTAGGCGCGGAAGGCACTGATGCACGTGAAGAACTTCCAGTGCCGCGCAAAACGAAGAGCGCACCAAGTCCGATAACGCTTCCCAGCACGAGCTCGAGCAAGCCCACGCTTAATCTGCGCACGGGCAAAACCAGGTTGCTCAGCGAAAACCTTCTTGACAGCCCCAAGCCAAACCGGAGGATGCCATTATTGAGGGACCTCTCGCAGCATATCATGCACGGAAGACCTACATCCCGCCGAATTGACAACAACAATCGGCGTGGTGGGCGGGGATGTGGCCAGGTCGACCTTTTGGACCGAGACGACAGAGGGCAGCGGTCCGAATGCCCAGAAGTATCCAGGGAACCCCTTGCATAATGCAGCCCTGGAAGAGAAGCCTGCGGGGTTCCGAATATATCCTTTCGTGAAGAGAGGAGTGCGATTCACTAGCGTTGTTCCACCCTTGCCACGCGGGTTCGTCCTGGACAAACTCAACCCGAGAACTACATAACGAGTTCGTTACAGGCGCCGCGACACAATCGATCACCACTGAACCAAGGATGAGCGTCATCTTCCGTCACCCCTCCTCCTCAAGAGCGAAATTCCAATACCCAGCGATGAAGTTGAAAGAGATAATGGCAAGCGGCAGCACGCGACAGGTATCGGAGAGGATGCGACGGTAGAGCGGGTGTCCATGGCTACTGGTTGGCATGTGGCAGCGCATGATAACGAGCATTGTCCCTCGACCAACGTACCGAATAATAAGAACACGACGAGGCAGAAATGGAGAGCGAGAGATAGTATCGAACTGGCGGGCACGCTGCTCATGCGCGATCGCCATTACACCTCCAGTCGTAGCCTCCGTATGCATAGAGAACCCGAAACTGCCACCCTTGGAGCTGAGACTGGATTTTTTCAGCGCCCCCAAAATGGCCATATGCTTTTTGTGCGCAAGCGGCGCTACGACGTGACGCTAGGTTCCAGAACTGAGGGTAACGCCAAAACGCGCGATTCCCTTCACCTTCCACAGCTGCAAATAAATCGTGGCTGTTCCCGTTGACGATCGACATGCTGGTAAGCAGTGGGAACGGCATAGCGGGAGCAACGCCAGCATCATGGAAGACGAAGAGGAAGAGCCGCTGCACGAATCACTCGAGCTGCTGGAGCCCGAGTACTATTAGGACTGCAACTAGTAGTAGTAGTAGTAGTACTACTACTACTACTACTACTACTACTACTACTACTACTACTACTATTACTGCTACTACTACCACTACCACTACCACTACGACTACTACTACTACTACGACTACGACTACGACTATTACTACTACTACTACTACTACTAATACTACTACTACTACTACTACTACTACTACTACTACTACTACTACTACTCTACTACTACTACTACTACGACTAGTACTACTACTACTACTACTACTACTACTACTACTACTACTACTACTACTACCACGACTGCTACTACTACTACTACTACGACGACGTCGGTTACTACCACTACTACGACTACTACTACTACTACTACCGCTACTACTACGACTACGACTGGTACTACTACTACTACTACTACTACTACTACTACTACTACTACTGCTACGACTACTACGATTACGACTACTATCACTACGACTACGACTACTACTACTACTACTACTACTACTACGATTACTACTACTATCACTACTACTACTACTACTACTGCTACTACTGCTACTACTACTACTATTACTACTACCACTAATACCACCATTACTACTACTACTACTACTACTACTCATGCGAATGCTACTAGTACGACGACGACTACTACTACAACTACTTCTACTACTACTACTACAACTACTACAACCACTACTACTACTACGACTACTACTACTACTACTACGACTACTACCTCTATTTTTACTACTACTACTACTACTACTGACACGACTACAACAACTACTACTACTACTACTGCTACTACTACTACTACTACTACTACTACTACTACTTCTATTACTACCACCACCACCACCAATACTACTACTACTACTACTATTACTACTACTACTACTACTACTACTACTACTACTACTACTACTACTTCTGCTTATACTACTACTCCTACTGCGACTATTACTATTACTACGACGACGACGACCACTACTACTACTACGACGACTACTACTACTATTACGACTACTACTACTACTACTACTACTACTACTACTACTACCACTACTACTACTACTACTACTACTACTACTACTACTACTACTACTACTACTACTACTACTGACACGACTACAACTACTACTACTACTACTACTGCTACTACTACTACTACTACTACTACTACTACTACTACTACGACGACTGCGACTACTATCAGACGAACTGCTGTTAATACTCGAATTCGACACGGGCTTCACATTAGGCGCTAACCCAGGATCACTGCAACGGCCATCTCCGGACTCCTCCAAGGGGCAGCCTAATTGCAACCTTCGCCGCATCGAGGCGAGCGTCAGAATGAGCGTCCAGCCCGAGCTCTGGAAGCGCAGTCAACCAAGGCCCACATGAACCACATCAGAAACATCGCTGGGGGCGAGACGGGCGACGCGCATGGGATCCTACGCGCTGCGCAGCACGAAGATTTCGCCACCGAGGCCAATAAATCAGACCTCCTAGCTGGAATGCCACGTCGTCTCCAATTTGTTCCTCATCTTGCCTTGCCCATGGCCAAGAACATGCCCCAGCTGCGGCAGCCAAAATCACGACGAAGTTTGAAAGAGAGAACCCCTCCGCGAGGGTCAGGAAAGGCACTGGCGACGCCGAAGTTGGAGAGGAAATTGCTGTCCTGGAAAGCGTCACCGAACTCGAAAATAGCTTTACGATTCATGTCGAAGGCCTTTCTCACGCACTGGGGATGGTTGGCCATCGGCATGGCCCGTTGGCGAACTTAGCCGGTGGTTCGTTGCACTGTTCTCGCCATCATCGGCCTCGGACAGCCAACGAGCACGACCCAACAAACACCTTCCTGTTGAGCACCAGAGCGCGGCGAAGACAACCTGGTGGAACCTGAAGGAGCCGAGGATGAGAGGGCACCTGAACGAGTTGACGAAGGACAGAGGACCCGCTTACGCCGCTGTGAAGGCTCATCAGCACGGAACTGCGAGGTGATTTTGTCGAGAGGCTCCTGAATATTGCTGTCAATGGACTCGAGCTGGCTGGTACGGGTAGTCCGCTGCGAGGCGGATGCCGCCTCTCGCATAGCATTGCCAGCGCCATCCTACAAGGCGCCCGTGCGCGCTTCCATGATGTCGAGACAGGCGGCCGCTGGGCTGATGTCCGAACTCATTTGCTCGAAGTTTGTGTTGACAGCATCCTGCATTGCATCCATTCTCTAGTTCATGCTGCTCACGCCCGCGATGAGCTGCTGAGCCCGTGCAGGGGCCGCGGCGGAGACGCCCATGGCTGTGGAGTGACGGGGATGTGAAAAAGCATGCCTGCCGAGAGAGAAATATGCGGGTCCCTGTGCCCGCCAAGCTGCTCGGACAAGAGGTGCGCACACAGCCTAAGCTAATCGCTGGTTCTCCGACGTATATACAACGTTTACCCTTGTGCCCAAATGGCTACGGATGATAACGAGGATGCTCATGGTGATGATGATGATGATGCTGCTGCTGCTGATGATGATGATGATGCTGGTGATGATGACGACGATGATGATGATGATGATGGTGGCAATGGTAATGATGATGCTAAAGATGATGACGGTGATGCTGATGATGATGATGATGATGGTGATGGTAATAATGATGATGATGATAATGATGATGATGATGATGATGGTGGTGATGCTGAGGATGATGAGTATCTAATGTTGCTGCTGATGATGATGCTGGCAATGGTAATGATGGCGGTGGCGATGATGATGATGCTGGTGATGATAATAATGATGTTGATGATGATGGTGGTGGTGATGATAATGTTGATGATGGTGATAATGCTGATGGTGATGATGATGTTGATGGTGACGATGATGGTGATGACGCTGATGATGGCGATAACGGTGATGATGGTGATGGGGATGAGGATGATAATGAGAATGGGGATGATGATGCTGATGCTGATCACGATGATGGTGGTGATGATGATGATGGTAGTGATGATGAGGATGATATGTTTGATGTGGATGTTGATGATGATGGTGACGATGATGAGGACGATGATGAGTATGATAATGATGGTGGTGATGATGATGATCCTGATAATGATGATGATGATGATGATGATGATGATGATGATGATGATGATGATGATGATGATGATGCTGATGGTAATGGTAATGGTGATGGTTATGATGAGGATGATGAGGATGAGGATGACGATGGGGATGAGGATTGGGATGATAATGAGGATGAGGATGATAATGATGATAATGATGGTGGTGGTGCTGATGATGATATGATGACGATGGTGATGATGGTAAGGAGGAGGAGGGGAGGAGGAGGATGGAAGGAGGAGGAACATTAAACGGTGGGCCTGCTCCAGCATCTGCACCCTGCGCAGCAGCTGCGAGTTCATGACCCTCTGTGCCTGCAACCGTCCTTCCACCTCGCCGATGCGGGCCTCGAGCTCCGAGTGGTCCTGAAGGCTGGGACGGAGAGGGAGCAAGGAGAGGGTTCAGGAGTGGAGAAAGAGGCGGAAGATGATGAGTCCAAGCACCAATACGCGCCCGCCGACCCCTTGGGGGGCCAACAGGCTGCGAGGACGAGGCTGTCCTGTTCCCCACAACAGTTCGGGTTCCCAACGTATACGGATATGCGTGTAGATGATCCCTTTGCTAGTCCCAATGCTGTGTAATGACTGACATCCGCGCGAGAAGGGAGAGCCCCCAAACCATCGGGGATCCGTGAAATCCCCCGATCCAGCGCGTGAGGAGAACAATCCCTGAGCTTCAGCTCAGCTCCGCTGGGGGGGGGGACGGAGGGGCTCTGCTGGGGAAGGGGGGGAGGAAGGGGGGAGGCGTGTACTAAATTCCCCGCCCCGGTGGCTTCATCTCAGCTCTGCTGTGGGGAGGCCGGGGTGGTTCTGCCGGAGAAGGGGGTGAAGGGGGGGGACGACGACGACGACGACGACGACGACGACGACGACGACGCCGACGACGACGACGACGACGACGACGACGACCACGACGACGACGACGGCGACGACGACGACGACGGCGGCGGCGGCGGCGGAGACGATGAAACACATTCAACAACTTAAGGAAAATCCGCCAGATTAGGCTTGCTGCTCCCTGCTCCAGTTCTAATGTGAAGTCTCGCTGTACAGGGTGGGGGAGACGCATGTGGACACCGCCACTGAGGCCTTCGGTGGAGCTCCCTATGGGGCCACGGAACGCTGCGCTGGGGGGGGGGGGGGGGGGGGACGCGTGTGGATACCGCCACTGGGGCCTCAGCTGGACCTCCCTGTAGGGCCACGGAACGCTGTGCTGGGGGGGGAGGGGACGCGTGTGGACACCGCCACGGGGGCCCTCGGTGGAGCTCCCTATGGGGCCACGGAACGCCGTGCCGGGCGGGGGAGACGCGTGTGGACACCGCCACTGGGGCCCTAGGTGGAGCTCCCTACTACGGGCCACGAAACGCCGCGCTGGGCGGGGGAGACGTATGTGAACACTGCCACTCGGGCCTTAGCTGGACCTCCCTATGGACCACGAAACGCGGATGATGATGATGATGATGATGATGATGATGATGATGATGATGATGATGATGATGATGATGATGATGATGATGATGACGTTGATGATGATGCGGATGATGATGAGGATGATGATGATGCGGATGAGGATGAGGATGAGAATGAGAAGAATGATGCTGATGATGATGAGGATGTTGATGATGATCATGATGACAGCGACGATGAAGAAGACGACGATGTTGATGATGGTGATGGTGATGATGCTGATGATGATGCTGCTGATGCTGATGCTGATGGTGATGATGATGATGTTGATGCTGATGCTGATGCAAATGATGATGATGATGATGATGATGATGATGATGATGATGATGATGATGACCACGACGAGGACGTGCGGAAGGCAGAGGCTGTGATGGGAGGAGGGAGGAGGGGGAGGAGGAGAGGATGGACGCAGGGACTGTCTCTTCAAAACGAAGACCCAAAACCACAGGATGGTTGAGCTTCGCGCCCCCGAATCAATAATACTGCGTACATGATCCTATGTTCGCGCCCCCGAGGCCACGATCCCTCGCAAATCACACCGCGTTCGCCCACCCGAGGCTCCGATCCCTGGTGAATTACACCACGCTCGCATCCCCGAGGCCACGCTTGTGTGTAAATTACACCTTGCGCCACATTCGCACCCCCGAGGCCACGATCCCCCGTAAAGTCCTCCAAATTCGCGTCCACGAGACCATCAACCCTTGTGAGTTACGCAATGCTCGCGTCCTCGATGCCATCCCTCGTAAATGATTTAAAAAACCAAGCAAAAATTGGGTGGCCGAGGCCACGACCCCCTGTGAACTATACAAGGTTTGCATCCCCGAGGCCAGCCCCTCGTAACGTACACCGTGTTCGCGCCCCCGAGGCCACGATCCGTGCTACGTTGCGCAATGTTCGCGTCCCCGGAGCCACGACCCCTGGCAAGTTGCACCAGGTCTGCGTCCTCGAAGCCACCATCCGTTGCAAATCACGCCATATTCGCCTCCTCGAGGCCATCTACAATCGTAGATTACGTACTCTTTGCGTCACCGGGGCAACGATGCCCCGCCAAAGTATACAAAGATCGCGACTCCGAGGCCACGATCCCCCGTAAATGACAAAATAGCTGCGTCCTCGAAGCCCGGATCCCCTGAAATGTACTCCATAGTCGAGGCCTCGAGGCAAGAAGCCTTCGCGAGTGAAACGACATGTGCGGCACCGAGGCCACGATCCCCTGTAAGTGACTCAAGATTCGCGTCCTCGAGAGCCTGAGGAAACAAAAACCATTGATATCACTATGGTTTTCGCAGGGTTTTGAAATCCACGTTTGCTTGGATCTCCGACCGCCCAAGGAGACGATTGTTGCTCTATCCCAACTCGTCGCTTGCGATGACGACTATCAAAAAGTTCACAATGCGAACCGTCAGAATTCGAGAGATGCTTGTAAGCTTTGCTGGGCAAGCCGTAACATACGATACTGGCCCTCGCGTGAAGTACATTGCTTCACGACGGCACCCTTGTATCACAACTTAACTCTGGCATGACCCATTCTAAGCGAGAGGGGGGGCCGGCTGGGGCTCTCTTGGGGCTCTCTTGGGCCTCTTGGGGACCTCTCGGGTGATTAACCCCAAAGGGTCTTTAATCACCCCCCGGGCAATAATGGGAAAATGCATGATTCGTCCGCCGGCTTATTGACGGATTGGGACCCCGACAATAGTTGGAAATTGATTATTCTCGTCGGCGGATGCATGAGAGGTCATGAGAAGTGCTCAAAAATCCCATCGTCATCGTCGTCGTCGTCTCCTGTCGTCGTCGTCCTCGTCGTCGTCCTCCCTCCTCCTCGAGTCTACGAAACGGAGCCCAGAACAGGGGGGGAGGAGGAGGGGGAGGAGGAGGAGGAGGAGGAGGAGGAGGAGGAGGAGAAGGAGGAGGAGGAGGAGGGGGAGGGGGAGGAGGAGGAGGAGGAGGAGGAGGAGGAGGAGGAGGAGGAGGAGGAGGACGGAGGGGAAGGAGGAGGGAGGGGAAGGAGGAGGAGGGACGAGTTTCTATTCCCCGCCGAGAACTTAGGGCATCGACGACTACTTGCGTCTGTGTTTTTGCCTCCTGGAGGGAGGGGTGCTCCCTCCTGGGGCCTGGGGGAAGGTCACAACCCCCGAGCCCGCCCCCCCCCCCCCCCTCGGGACCCCCCGCCCCCCGACGGGGCAGGGATCAAAGGAAAAAGGAGCTTCCCTTCGACGATGTTGCTTGATTTCCCTCTGGCAGGAACGTGAGGAGGAGGGCCCAGGGAAATGACAGAGGTTTGTAGATCCCTATCCCAGGCGACGTGGGTTTTCCGAATGGACCATAAATTGTGGGCCCAACCCTGGGATGTACGATGGGGGGCTTCCTTCATCGATAGGGGTGCGTCGTCCGAATAGCCCCCTTGGGGTGTATCACAGCGAGGGTCACGATCCCTCGTAAACTAAACTGAGCGATGGGCGATATGTAGTGGCATTGCTGCAGATGCGCATGATGATGATACTGTTCCATGAAGCTGTGTTGTGCTTCTCTGCACTGTGGGGGCGTGGCAAGAGACGCGCCACAGAACGGGCAGGGAAAACGCTAGTGGACCAGTTTCGCGCTTGTCCAGCTCCGGGGCGTCAGGAGCCCACGTGTGTTCCCGCTTGTCCCGCTCTGGGGCGTTAGGAACCCACGTGTGCTCACGCGTGTCCCGATCTAAAGCGTCAAGACCCCACGTGTGTTCACGCTTATCCCGCTCTGGGGCGTCAAGAACCCACGTGTTTTCACGCGTGTCCCGCTCTGGGGCGTTATGAGAATACGTGTGTTCATGCTGATCCCGCTCTGGCGCACTGGGCATTCACATGTTTTCACGCTTGTCCTGCTCTTGGACGTTTGGAACCCACGTGTGTTCACGCCTGCCCCGCTCTGGAGCGTTAGGAACCCACACGGTTTCAAGCGTGTCCCGCTCTGGGGCGTTAGGGACCCACGTGAGTTCACGCCTATTTCGCTCTGGGACGTTAGGAACCCATGCGTCTCCCCGCGTGTCCCGCTCTGGGGCGTTAGAAACGTATTTTCACGCTTGTCCCGAACTGGGGCGTCAGGACCCCACGTGTTGTCACTCGTGTCCCGCTCTGAGGCGTTAGGAACCAAATTGCCCTGCTCTAGGGCGCTAGAAGCCCACATGTGTTCACGCTTGTCCCGATCCGGGGCGTAAGGAGCCCACGTGTGTTCACGCGTGCCCCGCTCTGGGGCGTTAGACACCATGTGTTGTAACGCTTGTCCCGCTCTTGGGCATTCGCTATGGAAATCACTAGGAACGCGCATATATATACATATATATATATTAAAAAAAAGTTCAAGCCCCAGGAGAGGAACAACATATTGGACAAAACAAGCGGTTCGTTCGAGACACCCTCAACAACATCTGCAAAACAAGCATTTCGCTCGAGACATTCGCAACAACGAATAGCTACGTGCACTTTCCCATGTATTTAAGCGTTCAGAATTTTAACCAAAATTCGTTCGGGACATCCTCAAATCTCAAATTCTGATCCGCCGGCCCTCTTCGACCTCGTTATTCTTCGAAAAGAAAATCCGCTGGCTATCTTCGAACTTGACACCGGGAATGGATTACCATGCTACTAGAGAACCCTGGGACCAAGCCAATTCCGGGATAAACAAAGAACGTCAAGGGAGAGGAGCGGCGGCGACGACGACGACGACGACTGCGACGACTCAACCGAAGGACCTCTTCCACACGCCGACGGAGTCGGCGGACTTGTGATCCGAAGTCGCCTGACAATCAAGACTCCCCTGAGCAGACACAGCGAAGAATATAAAACTGCAACCGAAAACGGAAGCCGAGTCCCACGCGCGCAGGTAGCAAATCACCAAGAGGTGGCAATGAAAGGCGGGTGCTATCAGCTCCATCTCGCTAGTCAGGGACCCGCTTGCCCATGTGGATCATGGTCGGCGATATGATACAAATTTCCGAGAGCCCCACCGAAAAGATAAGAGGATGAGGAGGAGGGAGAAGCCATGGTTGAGTAGCACCCAACAGGACCACCACCGCTGCCGCTCGTCCACCCGCGCTCGTGCGATACCCCACAGTGACACAGAGATACGGTGCCTTGATGTTTCAGTACGGGGGGCCCCCGAAGTCTCGCCCCCTTCCCAGGGACCAGCTTTCTATCTGGAGTCGTTGATCCACGGCCCCTGGGCAAGGCGAGCGCCCCCAGAGGCCGAAATGGCGAGACAACTTCGTTTTGATGATTGTCAGTGCGTTGGAGCTCTGGGGATCAGCCGCATGCACTTCTGCTGCGTCCGTCCGGGTCCGCTGCGGGCGGCGTGGCGTCTCCAGCAGGATCTCCGCGCGCTCGCAGGGGATCAGCCTCCCCTGCTCCTGCAGCCTGGGTGCGGGAGGGGAGACCGACGGCCTGGAGTTGACGCTGTCGTCTTAACCGTTCGCATGGTCATCATCATCATCATCATCATCATCATCAGCATCATCATCAGCAGCAGCATCATCAGCATCAGCATCATCAGCATCATCATGACAATTATCAGCACCAGAAGTATCATCGTCAGCATAATCATCAGCATCATCATCATTATCAGTATCAGCATCATCAGAATCATCATCATCATCAGCATCATCATCAGCATCATCATCAGCATCACCAGCATCATCATCTTCACACAATCATCATCAGCATCATCAGCATCATCAGCATCATCATCAGCATCACCGTCGCCATTACCATCACCACCACCATCAGCATCATCACCGTCAGCTATCATCAGCATCAGCATCGCCATCATCACCATCAGCATCATGATCATCGTCAGCATCATCACTATTACCATCATCGTACTTATCATCAGCATCGTCATCATCGTCATCACCAGCAACAGCAGCAGCAGCATCAGTATTATCATCATCAGCAGCATCATCGTCATCATCGCCACCACCATCATCAGCAGCAGCATTAGCATCACACATCATCCCCATCCCCATCACCCACAACAGCAAAAGCATCGCAAATCATCCTTAGCAGCATCATCATGATGATGATCATTACTCCTTGCATCTGTCAAATGGGAGGACGGGAGGAAGAAGGAAGGGGGAGGGGGAGAGAAGAGCGAGGAGGGATGAAGGCCCAGTGTAAAGATTCGGGGGCTCGAGACACCCGGCGGTTTCAGTGGCGGGAGCCCTGATGAAGCCTGCGCATGGGCGAGAACGCCCCCGCTTGCTGGAAGATGTACATGTCTGCCCCCGAGGGGTCCCCCCTAAATGAGCTCGCCAACGCAGTCCCTGCCCTCAGGGCCTCCAGATCCACCCTCGGACGCATCCAAAACTGCTTCAAAGGCTCCAACAAGGTCAGCAGGCCTCGAGGAGCCCTCATGAGAGACCCCGAGAAGGCCGACCGACGCCCCAACAGGGAGCCCACACACCCAAAACCATCAAAAAGCTTAACATATGTCAAAGAATTGGGCGATCCCGACGTATCACGGCTCCTCCTCCTCCTCCTCCTCCTCCTCCTCCTCCTCAGCCTCCTCTTCCTCCTCCTCCTCCATCTCCCCCTCCTCCTGGGCATTCAGAAGGGAGGCGCATCCTGAAAGCTCGTCCCCAGGGGGGGGCAATCCTGCTCGGGGCTGGTGGTCCGTTTTCTCCTGGCCAGGCCGTTTTAGGGGTCAAGCCGGCTGTGACGGCTGGTGCCTCCCATGCTTCTCCTCACCGTCCTCCTCTCCTTCTCCCCTCCTCCTCTTCCTCCTCCTCCTCCTCCTCCTCCTCCTCCTCCTCCTCCTCCTCCTCCTCCTCCTCCTCCTCCTTCGTAGCCATTTAGCTCAAGCCGTTGGGGGTTTGAACGTGCTGAGAGACGCGATTCGATTGGACAGGCCAACGTCACAACGTTTAGGCTCAGCCAGAGAATGCCCAAGAGCACACGTGTCAGAGTCTGCAATGAATGCGGCGCATCGATGCACAACTGGCGGCTGGGCAAGCAAGGAAGGCAATGCAAGTGCGGCAAGAAGGCTGGAACCGTTCCAGAGCAAGACGCCCTGGCGCAGCAACCACTACGGAAAGCAGCACGCTGGCAGCTCGGCGGCGGAGTGGTGGGGGGCCAACGCCAGGAGAAAACAACGGAAAGACGGCGGCGCTGGAGTTCCTCGCAAAGGGAAGCAAGCAGCTGGCCAAGGAGATCGAGGAGCTCTGGCGCAAGCATGGGACGCACATGGACATACTAGTACGATATGTCTTCCTTGGAGGCGCGCGTCCGACCCGAACATATAGTATACCCATCTTGTAGTATATCGTTTCCCGAGCGGTGTGGCCAGAAAGCGCCCGCCACGACGCATCTACTATAAGATTTCTCGGTGCGCGCGTCGCCCCTGGGGGGGCGACGCACATATAGTATAAGTATGTTGGGGTGTTGCCGACAAGCACGCGTCGCCGCCGCCGCAGCCGAGGCCACCGGATGGATGGCAGGCGCTCACGAAGGCCAAGGGACAGCATCAGAGAAGGCGGAGAAGTGGCTGCTGGAGTGCGAGGATGAGTTCGAGCGCTTGTCCATCCTCCATGGCGAGGGCGCTCCTCCGCCGCGACCAGGCATTGGAAGACACCATCGACGGGCTCTGCGACTGAAAGCGATATACCTAACACCTCCAACCATCCGGACCCCCCTTACACTTGCAGCGTAAAACCTGTCTAAAACGACATCTCCCCTTTTGTCCATGCCGGGATATTGGTCTAGGCGTTGAGCTGGATAGGATGTAAACGCACGAAGCAGCAATAACCGCCGCAACTCCAACACCATCCTCATGAGCGGTAGCCAAGACCGCGCCACCAAAGCAACACATTCTGAGAAAGCGACGTGGGTAAGCCGATCGCCGTCCAACCCCCGCCCAACTTCGGTGCCGTATCCTGTTCGCTGTCATGTCGCATGCGCTTCTGTCAGCAACTGCACTCAAACAAGGCTGAACAATACTGGCGAAAGCGGGTCGCCCTGACGCACTCCACGCTTAACTTGAAATCGACGACTCTCCACGCCCAACCAAAGCTGGACATACGCCTCCATGCCTCGGTAAAGTTTTAGCTAAACCTTCACGACATATGCCTCTATGTCGCAGGAAACAAAGAATCGAACAGCTCGTCGTGGTGCACCTTGTCAAACGCCTTCTCTACGTCCAGCGCCACCAAGCACAAATCCCCCCACTCAGCCGATTTGTTTCCACCACCATGCGCAGCAGGTGCACCGCATCATCGCAACCATGTCCAGTGCTGGAGCCAGGTTGCTCTTCCAGAAGCCTGCTCTCCACCGACGATAGTATACGGATATATAAAACTGTGCTGCATAGTCGTGCCGTATTGGGTTTACTCAAAATCGGCATATAATTCTGCAATTCCGAGCGCTCCCATTTTTGGAATATCATTGACAACCGAAAAGTTTCCATTCCGCTGAAGGGCCTCCGTGCGCCCGACAACATATCAGAGGCATACCCTGCAGTAGTTTACAGAAGTGTCGCGTGCCCTATCTGGAACAGCTCCGACTCCAAGCCATCGTCTGCGCAACTGTGCCCATCCTTCATCTTGCGTAGGCCCGCTGTGAGCTCTTGCAGTGTCACTGAAGGTACGGTACCATACAAATCCTGCTCTTTCAGGTCCTCTGTGCGGGCGTCCTCTGTCCGAAGCCACAGAGGACTTCTCAGAATGCTTGAGTGTTCCTGAGGTCTGCCCCCTCTCGCGTCCCCCCTCGGAGCGCCGCCGACTAACACAGGCCAAGATCACTAGACATGGACTTACAGCTCTTCTCGAACCAACCCGGATGTTGAACCACGACGGAGGTTGTTTTGGACGCCCGAAATGGGTACGGAAAAATTGGCACCATGCCCAACAACAAATGTTGTCCCAAACCAACAGCGGCCGCTGTTGGGCAGGCGGCCTTCTGTCTCGAATGGACACAGGCTGCGGCGGCGTGGACAGCGAGTCCTGTTCAAAATGAATAGGAACTGCTGTCGGGCAGTGTACCCATTCTTTCCGTACCCATTTCGTTCGTGCCGAATTGTGTGCTGAGTCGCTTGACGTGGGCCATGGGCTGGCTTCGAGGGCCCGATTATGCTCAGGAAGCTACGGTTGCGCCTCACATCGGTAACTGTGCGAATTAGGGAGCCCACAGACGACGTACGCGCCCGACCATGTACAGGAACACGGCCCCTCGATCCGCGAGACCGCCCGCGTGATAGGAACATTCGTGCAATGCACAGTCTCGAAACCAACGTGGATTCATGTACGTGCACGTCCTTTGTAGCTTTGTGGATTCCATGACAATTGACACTCGATCAATTCTCTCATTGAATGAAAAATGTGTCTAAAATGTGTAGCAAATGTTCTAATCATGTTTTAAACATGTTTCTACATATTCAAAACATGTTTAAATGATTTGGCAACCTGCTTCCTCTCAATAAACCGACTTCCACAAGTTGAGCTCCTGACGACCCTCCTCCTCCTCCTCCTCCTCCTCCTCCTCGCACGCGGGGGGGGGGGGGGCACGGCGGGCGCCTCCGGAGGAGCAGCTCCACGCCTCGGCGCCCGCCGCCGCACACCCGAAAAGCTGCGCTCGGGCCGCACGCTGCGCTGGGCATCAGAGCCCCCGCAGAGTTACATGATACGAATGAGCGGAGGGGCCCACAAAATCACATATATATATAGAATCAGATCAGAGCAAGTAAATACACACATAAAATCACGCCCCATGCTCTTCCAACATTTTCTGGGTTATTGTCTTCCCCCCCACTTCCCATGATACGAATGAGTAGAGGCCTCCTTGATGGGGTCAGAGTCGATGGGGTCGGAGGATCGCGCCGCATCGCCGATACGTCGGCGATGCATCGGCGATGCATCGGCGATTTACCGGCGATGCATCGTCGACGTCGGCGATACATCGGCAACGTCGACGTGGAGAAAATCGGGCTCCGCATCGAGCCGCTTCTGCGATGCATCGGCGATGCGGCGTGATCCTCCGACCCCATCTACTCCCACCCCATCTGAGAGGCCTAGAATAAGGCAGGGTCGCAGGGTCGGGCGTTGGCAGAACTGGGTTTAGTAAGACCTGGTTTCGTGATGTGTGCTGGGGGACGCCGCCCCCGCCCCGTTCCACTAACCGGAACTTCCGTCACCCGAAGAACACCAGCTGCGGCAGACCCGGTTTGGTGATTCTGGCTCATCTAGGGGCCCCGGGGCCCTACCACTAATCGGGTCCCCTTACCTGGGGACTTGGCTATACCCGACAGGGGAGTTGTATGATACTCCAGATTTCGTAATAAAGGGAGGGGGGTCTCATTTCGGGGGGGGTCTCTTCCAGGCTATCTTGGAGGGCCTGGGGGGGTCTGGGGACGATGTTTTGGAGGGTTCTCCCACGAGGGGGGGTCTGAAATGGCTTGTCTTGGAGGGTCCAGACCCCCTCCCTTTTATTACGAAATCTGATCTGGAGTAATTGGTGTTTGGCCCTGGCGGCCGCGGCCAGCGGGGCGGTCGGGTCGGGTCGGGCCGCCTTCGTCTCGTCATGCCAGCAGAGCACCCGAGGAGCAGCAGAGGCGGAGCGGCGGGTCGAGGAGCAGCAGGTCGGCTCGAGCAAGCGCGCATTCGTGCGCATCCCGGGGGAGCCCTGGGCGCTCTCCAAGGTAAATTGGGAGCCCACAAAGGACGGACGCGCCCAGCTATGTACATGAACACGGCCCTTCGATCCGCGAGACCGGCCGCGTGATACGAACTTTCGGGCAATGCGTATGTTTGAAATCAGCGTGGATTCATGTACGTGTGCGTCCTTCTGTCGCTCTCCAGGGCGAAAGCATGGCCATGTGCACCGTAATGCATCTGATACCAAGGACCGTGGCCGTGTCACAGGGGTGAGAGCACGGCCACGTGCACCGTGGAAAATCCAAAATGCTTGCACTTCTACAACATCTTTCAAGGGGCACAAGGACACACAAATAAATACACACAAATAAAATGATTCCCCATATTTTCCAATATTTTCTGGGCTTTTGTGTTCCCCCCCACTGCCTATATTTTCCCATATTTTCTGGGAAATCGACGATTAATTGTGTCTGTGTGTTTTTTCCCCTCCTGAATCTTAACTAAGGGTTTCCAAAATTCCAATTGACAAAAAAACCTTGCACTTCCAGAGTTCCAGTTCCAAACTAACTAGGGGTCTCTTACTTCTTGTCTACAGAGATGGGCCTGCGAGCCGGTCTGGCGGTTCTGTGCTCGCCGTCGCCGCCTCGTCGTCTGGGCCTGCGGGCCGGTCTGGCGGCTCCGTGCTCGCCGTCGCCGCCCCGTCGCCGCCTCGTCGCCGCCTCGTCGCCGCCCGTCGTCTGGGCCTGCGGGCCGGTCTGGCGGCTCCGTGCTCGCCGTCGCCGCCCCGTCGCCGCCTCGCATAGATTGCACAGCGTAGATTGCACCGCAAAGACTGTACTGCGTAGATCGCACCTCATGGATTGCACCGCATACATTGCAAAAAATGGATTGCATCTACGGCATAGATCGCCCCGCATACATCCGTGTAGATTGCACAGCGAACATCGCATCACATGTATTGCACGACATAGCCCATACTATATATAGGACGCCATCTACTGCACCACATAGATTGACCCACATAGTTTGCCCAACATATACTGCGCAACAGAGATTGCACAACATAGATCGCGCCACATGAATTGCACAGCCTAGATGACACAACATAGAACGCACCACACAAGTTGCACCACATATATTGCACCGTATATGTATTAATGAATATACATATATGTCTTGCACCACATATATTGCTCCACAGATATTGCTCCACATAGGTTGCACCACATATAATGCTACAATCACACTGCCTGGGGTCCTCGCTGGCTAACTAAGGCCGTCCGGATCAAAATGATCGACCCACGAACACGGAAAGAAGATAGAAATGCATGCAAGGCATGGCAACGTTTCAAAGACACCTGATTTGGCGGCAGGCAAATGCAATGCTGAGTGTATCGATCTTGATGTACCGTGCCGAGGGCTGTGCTGTGCTGCGCCGTGCTGAATTGCGATGTGCCATGCCGCGATTATGCTCAAAAGCGTTGTGGATCGAGTCCTCATTTGCGTCCGAGTCCTGACCGAACTGATCTGGATCGTCAGCTCGAGCTGCCTGAGCACATAGTAGCTGCCCCAGAGCTAATTGACAGGGGGGCATGCTAGGAGGACGCGCCGCGGAACGTCCCAAGGAACGCGCCAGGCGACTTGCCAGGGGACGTGCCACGGGGACGCACGGCGGGACGTGCCAAGGGGACGCACTACGGAACGTGCCAATGGACGTGCCACGGGACGTGCCAGGGGACGCGCCGCGCGACGTGCCAGGAGGACTCGCCACGGGACGCGTCACGGAACGTGCCAAAGAACCTGGCTGGTTGCAATGCTGCGTGTATCGATCTTGCTGTACCGTGCCGAGGGCTGTGCTGTGCTGCGCCGTCCTGAGCTGCGATGAACCGTGCCGCGATTGTGCTCTTCTGTGCTATGGATCGAGTCCTCATTTGCATCCGAGTCCTGACCGAACTGATCTGGATCTTCAGCTCGAACTGCCTGAGCACATGGTAGTTGCCCCGGAGCTAATTGACAGGGGAACATGCCAGGAGGACGCGCCGCGGAACGTCCCAAGCAACGCACCAGGCGACGTGCCAGGGGACGTGCCACGGGGACCAACCGCGGGACGTGCCAAGGGGACGCGCTACGGAACGCGCAATTGCACGTGCCACGGGACGTGCCAAGGGACGCGCCGCGCGACGTGCCAGGGGAACTCGCCACGGGACGCGCCACGGAACGTGCCAAAGAACCTGGCTGGTTGCAATGCTGCGTGTATCGATCTTGCTGTACCGTGCCGAGGGCTGTGCTGTGCTGCGCCGTCCTGAGCTGCGATGAACCGTGCCGCGATTGTGCTCTTCTGTGCTATGGATCGAGTCCTCATTTGCATCCGAGTCCTGACCGAACTGATCTGGATCTTCAGCTCGAACTGCCTGAGCACATGGTAGTTGCCCCGGAGCTAATTGACAGGGGAACATGCCAGGAGGACGCGCCGCGGAACGTCCCAAGCAACGCACCAGGCGACGTGCCAGGGGACGTGCCACGGGGACCAACCGCGGGACGTGCCAAGGGGACGCGCTACGGAACGCTCAATTGCACGTGCCACGGGACGTGCCAAGGGACGCGCCGCGCGACGTGCCAGGGGAACTCGCCACGGGACGCGCCACGGAACGTGCCAAGGAACGTCCCAAGTTGCTTACAATGCTAAGTGGATCGATCTTGATGTACCGTGCCGAGGCTGTGCTGGGGCCTCCTGGGGCCTCCTGGGGCGTTCGGAACCCATGTGTTTGTTTGCGCTTATCCCGCCCTGAGGCGTTAGGAACCCATGTGTGTTCACGCTTCTCCCGCCCTGAGGCGTTATCAACCCATGTGTGTTCACGCTTCTCCCGCCCTGCGGCGTTAAAAACCATGTGCTCACGTCTGTCCCGCCCTGACACGTTAGGAAACCATGCTACGGAACGTGCCAATGGACGTGCCACGGGACGTGCCAGGAGACGCGCCGCGCGACGTGCCAGGAGGACTCGCCACGGGACGCGCCACGGAACGTGCCAAAGAACGTGCCAGGTTGCAATGCTGAGTGTATCGATCTTGATGTACCGTGCCGAGGCTGTGCTGGGGCCTCCTGGGGCCTCCTGGGGCGTTCGGAACCCATGTCTTTTTGCGTTTGTCCCGCCCTGGGCGTTAGGAACCCATGTGTGGTCACGCTTCTCCCGCCCTGGGGCGTTAGGAACCCATGTGCTCACGTTTGTCCCGCCCTGGCACGTTAGGAAACCATGTGTGTTTTGCGCTTATCACGCCCTGGGGCGTTAGGAACGCATGTGTGTTCACGAGTCTCCCGCCCTGGGGCGTTACAAACTCATGGGTTCACGTTTGTCCCGCCCTGGCACGTTAGGAAATCATGTGTTGTCACGATTTCCCCGCCCTGCGGCGTTAGGAACCGATGTGTTCACGTTTGTCCCGCCCTGGGGCGTTGGGAGCAATGTGTTGTCACGGTTGTCCCGCCCTGGAGCGGTAGGAACCCATGTGTTTTCATGCTTGTCCCGCCCTGGGGCGTTAGAAACCAATGTGTTGTCACAGTTGTCCCGCCCTGGCGCGTTAGGAACCCATGTGTTTTCATGGTTGTCCCGCCCTGGGGCGTTAGGAACCATGTGTGTTCACGCTTGTCCCGCCCTGGGGCGTTTGGAACCATGTGTTGTCACGCTTCTCAGGCCCCTTGTGGCGTCCTAGGGTGGCGGGGGGAAGCGAAAAACGCTATCCGAACACATTTCCCAACAGAGAACATACGTAACAACCATGTTAGATACCCACATGGGTGGCCTGGACACGTAACAACACTTGGTTAAAGCTCGGGACAACCGTGTTAGATATCCCCCTGGGTGGCCTGGACATGTAAAAACACATGGTTCCAGCTCGGGACAACCATGTCAGATACCCCCCTGCGTGGCCCGGATACGCTGAATTCGGGCTCCCGCTCGAGACATCCTCGCAATGTCTTCCCTGGAGAGGCCCCCATAGCGCCACGCCCTGTCCAGAGCAAGGGAACATACCTTTCTATATTGGGATATGTGTTCGGGTAGCGCTTTTCGGCCCCCAGTGCGTTCCCTGATAATTCGGCGCTGGGCCCGACGCCATGTTAGATACTCCCCTGGGCGGCCTGGACACGTAAAAACACCTGGTTCCAGGTCGGGTCAATCATGTTAGATACCCCACTGAGTGGCCTGGACACATAAAAACACGTGGCGTGGATCCAGCTATGGGCAACCATGTTAGATACACCCCTGGGTGGCCCGGATACGTTAATACACTTGGTCCTTGCTCGGGACAACCATGTTAGATACCCCCCTGGGTGGCCTGGACACATACAAAAACACGTGGTGCCAGCTCTGGGCAACCATGTTAGATACACACATGTGTGGCCTGGACACGTTCAAACACATGGTCCTGCTCGGGACAACCATGTTATATACCCCCCTGGGTGGCCTGGACACGTAAAAACACGTGGTTCCAGGTCGGGGCAATCATGTTAGATACCCCACTGGGTGGCCTGGACACGTTCCAGCTCGGGACAATCATTCTAGGTACCCCCCTGGGTGACCTGGGCCCTCTTGGGGCCTCCTGGAGAGGGTCAATCTATAGGAACAAATGTAAAAACACACGGGTTCGTGTCCCTGGAGAAGGCCAATATATGGGAACACATGTAAAAACACACAGACTCCTGCCCCTGACCCAAATGTGTCACGCACCCTGTGTTCATCGATTGGAATTTCAAAAACCAGCGTTTCGCTAGGGACATCCTCAAATTTCAATTCGCCTGCGCTACGCGACTTTGTTATTCATCCCAAAAGGAATTCGCAGGCGCTACACAAGTACGGCCCGCCACAGGGTTTACCCACTAAAAGAACACCCTGGCCCTATGCTCTTTCCGAGAAAATGTAGCCAACAGTGAGGCGAGAGCACGGTTCCTGAATAAAGTGTGGGAAGTCTCAGGTGAAAGGGATGCCCGCACCCGCGCTCTTGGACTCCCCGTCCCCCCGTGTGGGACTCTGATTTGGTTCAGCCGGCCTTGATTGGACAGGACACGCGAGATGGCACAAGACCCTTCCGAGGGCAACCTTGCCATGGGGGATGTAGGAGGCATGGGTTGCGAGGCACAGGACACAATGGTACCCAAGGGTACCCTTGATTTGGCAGGGTCGACCTACTAATCAGGGCCGACTGTACCAGAACCCTCTAGCGAAATACGATTAACGAAAAATCGAACAGCCCCTACCTGCCGGGCGAGGAAAGACACTCCAGCAACGAAAAAGCTGATCGATGATTTGTTCTCTTCTTGTGCGGAAGACCGCCGCTGACCAGATTAAAGGAAACTGTGCCAGGGCTCCAGCTGAGCCACCATTGAGGGACCCCGCATCGCGTCACCTCGTCCAAATTCGGCACATCCCTCAAACGCTTCCTGCCCCGTGGGCAGCTCCAGCACCATTCCTCCCGCGGAGCGAACAGATCAAGCTCAGGAGAGGGCCCCCCCAGGCGCTACTCAGAGCTGCATAGCTGGGTCCTTCGCGAAGCTTGTCGGCGCGAAGCTGGTGACCCGTGGGTGAACCAGCGCTCGCTTGACAACACGTGACAAATGTTGACGGCTTGCCGTCGACCTCCCCTGCCCTTGCATCCAGATTGCAGCTCCGCCCTGGGTAGGGCACCACGTCCAGCCACCAAAGACTCGCAAGACGGAGCGAACCCGGGCTCTCTGGGGCATGCCGCTACTCTGTAAGCTTCCCCACTTGGAGGGAAGGGGCTCCACAGTATGTGGACGCCCGAGGTGAGTACGGTAGAGATGCACGATGCCCAACAACCAGCGTTGCCCAAAACCGACAGCGGCCGCCGCTGGGCAGACGACTTTACTCAAGCGGACAACGTCCGCGGCGACACCGACAGGAAGTCCAGTTCAAAATGGGCAGGAACTGGTGCCAGTCTTCGACACCGTTCTTTCCGTAGCAACCACGGTCGTACCGAATCAAGAGCGTCAGCCTGGGAGGGGAATATCGAGCTCGAATCGGCGAGACATCGCAGAACCGATCGGCGATAGGCCCCCGATAGCGAAACCTCACGTTCCTGGGCGGGCTGGAGCTATCGGGCCCGTCGTCGATGATGGGCGATTGGAGGCCGATGTATCCACTGAGCCTACCCCACAGTCATCCTCGTCGTCTCACTTTCAGGTCATAGCTCGTCTCTCCTGCGGCTGTTCAGGACGATCTGGATACCCACAGGCGCCTCCCGACAAGGCGTGGCTGCCGATACGTACCCCGAGGCAGGAACACCTCCACGAACCCACGAGAACGTCCGAAAACGTCCAGAAACAAACCGAAGCCCCCCGAGTCTGCAACCACCGTCACGTTGCTCCCGAGAGGAGGCAGCCGAGATCCGCAATCTCAGCGCTGGCCACCGCGCGGCCCGACGTGGCTCCTCTGAGCGCCGCGCACTGCCCGTCCGCGCCGCCACCCCGCGGCGAGCCCTGCGGCCCAGAAGCGGCCATGGCGGGCGCGACGCGCGGCGGCACGACGCGCGCTCCCTCTGAAACGACCGAGGCATGATGGCGACAGTGATGGTGGTGATGGCGATGGCGATGGCGATGGTGATGGTGGCGGTGGCGGTGGCGGTGGCGGTGGCGGTGGTGGCGGTGGTGGTGGTGGTGGTGGTGGCGGTGGTGGTGATGAGGAGGACGAGGAGGAGGAAGACTAGGAGGAGAGGAGGGGGGTTAGGGTGATGGTGATTGTGATGATGATGGTGGTGGCGGTGGTCCACCTGTTTGGTTAGGTAGTGTGGCACGGTGGCACCGCAGACAGGAGATGCATGGACGCAAGGTCCAACGGCGGCTAGACCAGCCAGCCGCCGCCGGCCGCGCCCGGCGGGAACCCCCGCCCGAACTGGCACCGCAGCCAACCACAACCCAAGGGGGTGGGACGGGCGGCAGCCGCAACGCGCCACACCCCAGGGCCTCTGCGAGTCCGCGCAGAGCCCGCTGCCATCGACGGCGACTCAAGGAGGGAAAGATGGGAGAGCGGGGACAGCGGATGGGGAACGAACAGGAGAGAGGGAAGGACCACCGTCGCTGAAAGCGCGTGCTCACAATGCACAGAGTGTTTCTGGATGATGGATACTCGGCTTGATCATGCGTCAGTAAAGAAGACGACCACACTGGATCAAATATAGTGCACCTGGCTGACGCGGGCAGGGCAATAACTGCAGTAGCCATAGCAGTACGTGCCAGACGGGCAAGCGGACAAGCATGAGCACGGATCAAAAAACGTGCGTATGCAAGCTGCCGCCAGCGAACAGGATCTGCGAGAGGCCAAGCTGGAGGCAGCGCGAGCATCGGCCACAATCGCATTCCTGCAGCCTGGGCTGGCCGCGTGCGGCCCACCCGCCAGCGGGCGAAGCCGCGCAGCCGTCAGGCCAGCAGCCACTGCCAGCCCTCGGGAGAAACCTCGCCCATCATCGAAACCTGTATCCTCCCACCTTGCCCCGTGAACTGTCCGAGTCCGAGTCGAAGCCAAGCCGCAGCTCCTGCCTGCTGCGGGGGTCCCAGAACGGTGCGGTGACAGACCGTGCGGTGACCTCGGAATCCCACCAACCCTTTGGGCGTGAGTGGTTTAGAGAGCCCGCTCTGTCCTCACCCCCCCTTCTTCCCCTGCGGGGAAGGGTTTACCCCTCCCCCTACCCCCTCCCCTGGACCTGGAGAGGGCGGGCCGAGTGGTGGCAAGGGGGTCTTTTTCGACTCCTGGGAGGGCCAAAAAACGACGACCCTCACGAGGATTCTGGTCCCGAGGGGGGGAGACCGTTTGGTCCCTGAACTCGTCTTTGAAGCCAAAAACATTGATTTTACTAAAGTTTCTGCCCCATTTTGGCCTTCTGAAGGGGGCCGCGCTCCTCTTCCTTCATAGCAAAATCATTCATTTTACGAAGGTTTGGGGCTCATTTTGTCCTTCTCAAGGGGCAGCGCTCATTTGCGCTTCTGAAGAGATCGCCAGAGGCCCCAAGATGGCCCCAAGAGGCCCCCAGGAGGCTCCCAAGAGGCCTCCAAGAGGCCCCCAAGAGGCCCCCAAGAGGCCCCAAGAGGCCCCCAAGAGGCCCCCAAGAGGCCCCCAAGAGGCCCCAAGAGGCCCCAAGAGGCCCCCAAGAGGCCCCCAAGAGGCCCCCAAGAGGCCCCCAAGAGGCCCCAAGAGGCTCCAAGAGGCCCCCAAGAGGCCCCACGAGGAGCCCGAACGACTCACACCAGGACGAGGGGCCCGAACGACTCACACCACGAAGAGCCCGAACGACTCACACCACAAGGAGGGGCCCGAACGACTCACACCAGGACGAGCCGCCCGAACGACTCACACCATGAGGAGCCCGAACGACTCACACCACGACGCGGGCCTCGAACGACTCACACCACGAGGAGCCCGAACGAGTCACACCAGGAGGACGGGCAGCGCTCATACAAGCCCCCCACGATGGCCCCCAGAGGTCCACCAGATGGCCCCTGGAGTTCCCCAGATGGCCCACAAGAAGTCCCCAGGAGGCACCACGAGGCCTCATGTTTCGCAAGAGTTGCTGTTTTGAGATGGGCTGGTGGGGATACGCGAAGCGTGAAGAATTCCCGAATACCTCATTGCATGGGTGCATGGGAGGCCCAGCCGCCCGAGACGCCCTTAGAGAACAGCTCACCAAACGGTGTGGTCACCGCACGGTCTGGGGGTTCCCGATGCTTGTTCTCCGCCGCGGCCCGCCCCAAACAAACCTCGTCGACTCGTCGACCTCCAGGATGTCACCCGTGCACGCTGGCGCGCAGTGCAGCCCACCCGAGATCGGCCACCTCTTGGCACCGTCCGGACCAACCACCTCGCCATCGCATCTGACGGTCATGCTCACCGACCGCTGAAGCCGCACCTGCGATCCATGGTGCCGTCGAGGGCGGCAAGGGCGCGGGCAGGCTTGCTGAAGCCGCAGTCTTCGACGCCCCCAACGCTCCGCCGCGGCCAGAAGGCCATCGCCGCACTCCGTAGCGGCGTGCGCGGGGGCGTCGTTGGCGTCGGCCGTGGTTGCCTCCGCCCGCGCTGGCTGCTGCCCATCCTCCAAGGCGTGGCCAGGCTGGGCGCCGCCCTCAGTTGAGCAGGGACCGACCGTCCCGGCAATCCTATAGGCCTACAGTCATCGGCCTGACCTAAGGAACGATAAATAAGGAACGAACCCCCTTTTTATCCCAAGGAATAACGCATACGGAACGATACATAACAAATAACGCATAAAGGAACTGCAAATAACGCATGCAAACCTAAGGAACGACCGAGCCCTGTACCACGAAGTGTTCTTCGAACCCAAACATGTTCTGATAACAAACAATTATCCCGGCAAAGCAACCTAACAGCGATGTGTAGGAGCATATCTGGAAGCATCCCCCTTAAGATTCAGATGAGAATCCAGTTGTAGAGTTCTGCTGTTCTCGAAGTCGTAGTCGCATTCGCGATGACAGTCGCAGTGGCCTGCATTAGCCTCAGCCTCAGCCTCAGCCTGCCTCAGCATCCGCCTCAGCCTCAGCTTCAGCCTGCCTCAGCCTCAGCCTCAGCCTGCTCCTGCATCAGCCTCAGTCTGCCTGCAGCCTCGGCCTCAGCCTCAGCCTGCCTCAGCCTCAGCCTGCCTCAGCCTCAGCCTCAGCCTCAGCCTGCCTCAGCATCAGCCTGCCTCAGCCTCAGCCTCAGCCTCAGCCTCAGCCTCAGCCTGCTTCAGCCTCAGCCTCAGTCTGCCTTCAGCCTCGGCCTCAGCCTCAGCCTGCCTCAGCCTCAGCCTGCATCAGCCTCAGCCTCAGCCTCAGCCTGCCTCAGCATCAGCCTGCCTCAGCCTCAGCCTCAGCCTGCCTCAGCCTCAGCCTCAGCCTGCTTCAGCCTCAGCCTCAGTCTGCCTTCAGCCTCGGCCTCAGCCTCAGCCTGCCTCAGCCTCAGCCTGCATCAGCCTCAGCCTCAGCCTCAGCCTGCCTCAGCATCAGCCTGCCTCAGCCTCAGCCTCAGCCTGCCTCAGCCTCAGCCTCAGCCTGCTTCAGCCTCAGCCTCAGTCTGCCTTCAGCCTCGGCCTCAGCCTCAGCCTGCCTCAGCCTCAGCCTGCATCAGCCTCAGCCTCAGCCTCAGCCTGCCTCAGCATCAGCCTGCCTCAGCCTCAGCCTCAGCCTGCCTCAGCCTCAGCCTCAGCCTGCTTCAGCCTCAGCCTCAGTCTGCCTTCAGCCTCGGCCTCAGCCTCAGCCTGCCTCAGCCTCAGCCTGCATCAGCCTCAGCCTCAGCCTCAGCCTGCCTCAGCATCAGCCTGCCTCAGCCTCAGCCTGCCTCAGCCTCAGCCTCAGCCTGCTTCAGCCTCAGCCTCAGTCTGCCTTCAGCCTCGGCCTCAGCCTCAGCCTGCCTCAGCCTCAGCCTGCATCAGCCTCAGCCTCAGCCTCAGCCTGCCTCAGCATCAGCCTGCCTCAGCCTCAGCCTCAGCCTGCCTCAGCCTCAGCCTCAGCCTGCTTCAGCCTCAGCCTCAGTCTGCCTTCAGCCTCGGCCTCAGCCTCAGCCTGCCTCAGCCTCGGCCTGCATCAGCCTCAGCCTCAGCCTCAGCCTGCCTCAGCATCAGCCTGCCTCAGCCGCAGCCTCAGCCTGCCTCTGCCTCAGCCTCAGCCTCAATCTGCCTTCAGCCTCGGCTTCAGTCTCAGCCTGCCTCTGCCTCAGCCTGCATCAGCCTCAGCCTCAGCCTGCCTCAGCCTCAGCCTGCCTCAGCCTCAGCCTCAGCCTCAGCCTGCCTCAGCCTCAGCCTCAGCCTGCTTCAGCCTCAGCCTCAGTCTGCCTTCAGCCTCGGCCTCAGCCTCAGGCCTGCCTCAGCCTCAGCCTGCATCATCAGCCTCAGCCTCAGCCTGCCTCAGCATCAGCCTGCCTCAGCCTCAGCCTCAGCCTGCCTCAGCCTCAGCCTCAGCCTGCTTCAGCCTCAGCCTCAGTCTGCCTTCAGCCTCGGCCTCAGCCTCAGCCTGCCTCAGCCTCAGCCTGCATCAGCCTCAGCCTCAGCCTCAGCCTGCCTCAGCCTCAGCCTGCATCAGCCTCAGCCTGCTTCAGCCTCAGCCTCAGCCTGCATCAGCCTCAGCCTGAGTCTGCCTTCAGCTTCGGCCTCAGCCTCAGCCTGCCTGCCTCAGCCTGCCTCAGCCTCAGCATCAGCCTGCCTCAGCATTCAAAATGTGGCCAGGGAATGGAATTCTGGGAACTCGAAGAACACGAAGTGGCCTACAGTTGGCTCCGGGCATTCAAAATCATACCCAGGAATGGAGTTCTGGGAAGTCAAGACCACGAAGTGGCCTACAGTTGGCTCCGGGCATCCAAAATGTGGCCCGGGAATGGAGTTCTGGGAACTCGAAGACCACGAAGTGGCCTACAGTTGGCTCCGGGCATCCAAAATGTGGCCCGGGAATGGAGTTCTGGGAACTCGAAGACCACGAAGTGGCCTACAGTTGGCTCCGGGCATCCAAAATGTGGCCCGGGAATGGAGTTCTGGGAACTCGAAGACCACGAAGTGGCCTACAGTTGGCTCCGGGCATTCAGAATGTGGCCCGGGAATGGAGTTCTGGGAGGTCGAAGAATGGAGTTCTGGGAGGTCGAAGAGCACGAAGTGTGTGACTGTTTGCGAAAAACGAGGTTCCCCGGCAATCCCCAACGGCCCCCCAACGGCCCCCCAACGGCTCCCCAACGGCTGCCCAGACCCCCATGTGGAGTCATCTGCTGCTCTCTTTTTACACCACTAGAAACCTATCAGTCTTCGCTGTTAGGTAACAATGTTTTCATAACATCCGCCCCATGTGTTAAAACGAGACAGTCTCAGCCAGAGATGCTACACAGTCGGGGCCTTGACCTAAGGAACCTAAAATAAGGAACGAGGCCCCTTTTTTCCACAAGTTACACTTCGATTTCCGATCGACGACATCAGGAACACCTGAGGCAAGCCGCGAAACACTTCAGGAACGCGGAACCCCTCCCCAACGAAAAGGGTTCCTTCTTCAGGGCCCCGACTGTATGGAAGCTGGGTCAGGGAAACTGGCAGATGAACCAGTGGCTGCCGCCGTCGCGGCGGAAGCCTGCCGTATCCGATCGGGTTCCACAGGCTCGCGCGTCTCTCTCTCTCTCTCTCTCTCTCTCTCTCTGGGATTTCAGGGGCAACGCTGGGGGGAGATAGGCCCAGGGAATGCTGCTGTTTTCCCATCTGGAGCGTAACCGGCTGTCGCCAAGGCTCCCCCCCCCTCCCCCTCTGGGATTTCAGGGGCAACGCTGGGGGGAGATAGGCCCAGGGAATGCTGCTGTTTTCCCATCTGGAGCGTAACCGGCTGTCGCCAAGGCTCCCCCCCTCCTCCCCTCTGGGATTTCAGGGGCAGCTGGGGGGAGATAGGCCCAGGGAATGCTGCTGTTTTCCCATCTGGAGCGTAACCGGCTGTCGCCAAGGCTCCCCCCTCCTCCCCCTTTGGGATTTCAGGGGCAACGCTGGGGGGAGACAGGCCCAGGGAATGCTGCTGTTTTCCAATCTGGAGCGTAGCCGGCTGTCGCCAAGGCTCCCCCCCTCCTCCCCCTCTGGGATTTCAGGGGCAACGCTGGGGGGAGATAGGCCCAGGGAATGCTGCTGTTTTCCCATCTGGAGCGTAACCGGCTGTCGCCAAGGCTCCCCCCCCCTCCCCCTCTGGGATTTCAGGGGCAACGCTGGGGGGAGATAGGCCCAGGGAATGCTGCTGTTTTCCCATCTGGAGCGTAACCGGCTGTCGCCAAGGCTCCCCCCCTCCTCCCCTCTGGGATTTCAGGGGCAGCTGGGGGGAGATAGGCCCAGGGAATGCTGCTGTTTTCCCATCTGGAGCGTAACCGGCTGTCGCCAAGGCTCCCCCCTCCTCCCCCTTTGGGATTTCAGGGGCAACGCTGGGGGGAGACAGGCCCAGGGAATGCTGCTGTTTTCCAATCTGGAGCGTAGCCGGCTGTCGCCAAGGCTCCCCCCCTCCTCCCCCTCTGGGAGTTATTGTTCAACGATGGGGGGGAGGATAGTAGGCAGGGAATGCTCTGTTTCCCATCGGAAGCGTAAACGGCTGTCGCTAAGGCTTTCCCCCTCCTCCCCCACTCTCCCCCTCTGGGCTTTCAGGGGCAACGCTGGGGGGAGATAGGCCCAGGGGAAGCTAGATGTTTTTTCATCTGGAGCGTAACTGGCTGTCGCCATGCTCCCCCCATCCTCCCCCTCTGGGATTTCAGGGCGGCAAACGCGGGCTGATTGGGTTTTTTTTTTGGAGATAGGCCCATGGAAAATGCTGCTGGGTCTTCCGCACTCTGGAGCGTAACCGGCTGTCGCCACGGCCCCCCCCCTCTCCCCCTCCTGGGATTTCAGGGCGGCAACGCCGGGGGGGAGATAGGGCCCAGGAATGCTGCTGTTTTCCCATCTGGAGCGTAACCGGCTGTCGCCAAGGCTCCCCCCCCCCCTACCCCTCTGGGATTTCAGGGGCAACGCTGGGGGGAGATAGGCCCAAGGAATGCTGCTGTTTTCCCATCTGGAGCGTAACCGGCTGTCGCCAAGGCTCCCCCCCTCCTCCCCCTCTGGGATTTCAGGGGCAACGCTGGGGGGGGATAGGCCCAGGGAATGCTGCTGTTTTACCCAGATGGAGCTTAAACCGGCTGTGCCAACTCCCCCCCTCCTCCCCTCTCGGATTTCAGGGGCAACGCTGGGGGGAGATAGGCCCCAGGGAATGCTTGCGTTTTCCATCTGGAGCGTAACCGGCTGTCGCCAAGGCTCCCCCCCTCCTCCCCCTCTGGGATTTCAGGGGCAACGCTGGGGGGAGATAGGCCCAGGGAATGCTGCTGTTTTCCCATCTGGAGCGTAACCGGCTGTCGCCAAGGCTCCCCCCCTCCTCCCCCTCTGGGATTTCAGGGGCAACGCTGGGGGGAGACAGGCCCAGGGAATGCTGCTGTCTTCCCATCTGGAGCGTCACCCGGCTGTCGCCAAGGCTCCCCCCCTCCTCCCCCTCTGGGATTTCAGGGGGGGCAACGCCGGGGGGAGATAGGCCCAGGGAATGCTGCTGTTTTCCCATCTGGAGCGTCACCCGGCTGTCGCCAAGGCTCCCCCCCTCCTCCCCCTCTGGGATTTCAGGGGCAACGCCGGGGGGAGACAGGCCCAGGGAAGGCTGCTGTTTTCCCCTCTGGAGCGTCACCCGGCTGTCGCCAAGGCTCCCCCCCTCCTCCCCCTCTGGGATTTCAGGGGCAACGCCAGGGGGAGACAGGCCCAGGGAAGGCTGCTGTCTTCTCATCTGGAGCGTCACCCGGCGGTCGCCAAGGGCTCCCCCCCTCCTCCCCCTCTGGGATTTCAGGGGCAACGCCGGGGGGGAGACAGGCCCAGGGAAGGCTGCTGTTTTCCCCTCTGGAGCGTGACCTGCTGTCGCCAAGGGCTCCCCCCCTCCTCCCCCTCTGGGATTTCAGGGGCAACGCCGGGGGGGAGACAGGCCCAGGGAGTGCTGCTGTTTTCCCCTCTGGAGCGTGACCTGCTGTCGCCAAGGGCTCCCCCCCTCCTCCCCCTCTGGGATTTCAGGGGCAACGCTGGGGGGAGACAGGCCCAGGGAGTGCTGCTGTCTTCCCATCTGGAGCGTAACCGGCCGTCGCCAAGGGCTCCCCCCCTCCTCCCCCTCTGGGATTTCAGGGGCAACGCTGGGGGGAGACAGGCCCAGGGAATGCTGCTGTCTTCCCATCTGGAGCGTCACCCGGCGGTCGCCAAGGCTCCCCCCCTCCTCCCCCTCTGGGATTTCAGGGGCAACGCTGGGGGGAGACAGGCCCAGGGAATGCTGCTGTCTTCCCATCTGGAGCGTCACCCGGCTGTCGCCAAGGCTCCCCCCCTCCTCCCCCTCTGGGATTTCAGGGGCAACGCCGGGGGGAGACAGGCCCAGGGAATGCTGCTGTCTTCCCCTCTGGAGCGTCACCCGGCGGTCGCCAAGGCTCCCCCCCTCCTCCCCCTCTGGGATTTCAGGGGCAACGCCGGGGGGAGACAGGCCCAGGGAAGGCTGCTGTCTTCCCATCTGGAGCGTAACCGGCCGTCGCCAAGGGCTCCCCCCCTCCTCCCCCTCTGGGATTTCAGGGGCAACGCTGGGGGGGAGACAGGCCCAGGGAGTGCTGCTGTCTTCCCCTCTGGAGCGTAACCGGCGTCGCCAAGGCTCCCCCCCTCCTCCCCCTCTGGGATTTCAGGGGCAACGCCGGGGGGAGACAGGCCCAGGGAAGGCTGCTGTCTTCCCATCTGGAGCGTAACCGGCCGTCGCCAAGGGCTCCCCCCCTCCTCCCCCTCTGGGATTTCAGGGGCAACGCTGGAGGGGAGACAGGCCCAGGGAGTGCTGCTGTCTTCCCCTCTGGAGCGTAACCGGCCGTCGCCAAGGCTCCCCCCCTCCTCCCCCTCTGGGATTTCAGGGGCAACGCCGGGGGGAGACAGGCCCAGGGAAGGCTGCTGTCTTCCCATCTGGAGCGTAACCGGCCGTCGCCAAGGGCTCCCCCCCTCCTCCCCCCTCTGGGATTTCAGGGGCAACGCTGGGGGGGAGACAGGCCCAGGGAAGGCTGCTGTCTTCCCATCTGGAGCGTAACCGGCCGTCGCCAAGGGCTCCCCCCCTCCTCCCCCTCTGGGATTTCAGGGGCAACGCTGGGGGGGAGACAGGCCCAGGGAGTGCTGCTGTCTTCCCCTCTGGAGCGTAACCGGCGGTCGCCAAGGCTCCCCCCCTCCTCCCCCTCTGGGATTTCAGGGGCAACGCCGGGGGGAGACAGGCCCAGGGAAGGCTGCTGTCTTCCCATCTGGAGCGTAACCGGCCGTCGCCAAGGGCTCCCCCCCTCCTCCCCCTCTGGGATTTCAGGGGCAACGCTGGGGGGGAGACAGGCCCAGGGAGTGCTGCTGTCTTCCCCTCTGGAGCGTAACCGGCCGTCGCCAAGGGCTCCCCCCCTCCTCCCCCTCTGGGATTTCAGGGGCAACGCTGGGGGGAGACAGGCCCAGGGAGTGCTGCTGCTTTCCCCTCTGGAGCGTAACCGGCCGTCGCCAAGGGCTCCCCCCCTCCTCCCCCGGGCAGCGGTAAAGATCGCACCTTTCGTGCAGGCCACAAAAGGGTTCTCAGAACCTGCTGTGGCAGGCCCGTGGCAGGCGAGCTGCGACGCCCCGCCACTGCTCGACGCCGCGCCGCGCCCGGGCGCGGGAGACCGCACGCCGAGGCCAGCTGCCGGCCAGCGGCGAGCGCGGGGCGGGAAGGGGCGCCGAGGCCGCGAGAGGCGCGCAGCCGCGTGCCTCGGCTGACGGGGCCCCAGGACACACAAAGAGATACACACAGATAACAAACAAATCCCCATGTTTTCCCACGTTTTCTGGGTTTTTGTCTTCCCCCCACTTCCCATATTTTCCCATCTTTTCCTGGGAATCGCCGGTTAATTGTGTCTGTGTGTTTTTTCCCCTCCTGATCGGCGCGCCCGCCCCGCCCTCGCGGCCCGCCCTCGCGGGCCCCCGCTGCTGTGGCGGCGGGCGCCGGCTGGGGAGCCGGCGCCGAGCGCCGCCTCGCGTCCCCACTGGAGTGCGGTCGGGCGCGCAGGGAGCGGTCGCGCGCACGGCGGCGGCGGCGGGCAGCCAGGGGCGGCGGCGCACCACGCTCCGCGGGCCCCAGCACGAGCGCCTCCACGGGCGCCCCCTCGAGGTCGGCCTCGAGGATTGGCGCCGCCAACGCCAGCCTCTCTCCACGAGCTCGGCGGGCGCGTCACTGGTCCCTGGGAATGAGCAATCGGCCCATTGGCCTGCCGCCCTCGCGGGGCGCAGGTTCTCATCGAGTCACGCGCATGCGATCGCACGCCGCACCACCCCGCACTGGGCGAGAGGGCCGTGCAACAGCCTCACCCGATAAGAACGACACCTGCTTCCCCGAGATCCCCAAACAGCTTTCACTTCCGCCACGTTCCAGAAACGCCTCTCCGGCAGAGGTGGCCTCCACAATGATGATGATGATGATGCTGATGATGATGATGATGGTGATGATGATGGTGATGATGGTGATGGTGATGCTGATGCTGATGCTGATGGTGGTGGTGGTGGTGGTGGTGGTGGTGGTGGTGGTGGTGGTGACGATGATGCTGATGATGATGACGACAACAACGACGACGATGCTGGCGATGCTGATCATGATGATGATGATGATGTTGATGATGATGATGATGATGATGGTGATGGTGATGATGATGTGCGTGGCGATGATGATAAGGATGGTGATGGTGGTAACGATGATGATGTTGATGCGTGTGATGATGCTGGTAATGATGATGATGACGACGATGATGATGATGCTGATGATGATGCTGATGATGATGCTGATGATGATGATGATGATGATGATGATGATGATGGCCCTGCGCGCACCCGCCGCACCAGCGGCCAATCGCGCCGCCGCGCGAGGGCCGCGCCGCGTCGTCGTCGTCGTCGTCGTCGTCGTCGTGCCGTCGTCGTCGTCGCCGTCGCGCCGTCGTCGTCGTCGTCGTCGTCGTCGTCGTCGTCGCCGCCGCCGTCGTCGTCGTTGGCGACGACGACGACGACGGCGGCGTCGGCGGCGGCGTCGGCGACGTCGTCGTCGTCGCGCCGTCGCCGTCGTCGTCGTCGTCGTCGTCGTCGTCGTCGTCGTCGTCGCCGTCGCCGTCGTCGTCGTCGTCGTCGTCGTCCTTTTACGGCGCTCGGGCGGAGGGGAGGCGTCCGAGCCCCCCCAAAACCTTGTGAGGGGGGGAGGTCGATCCGTCCCCCGCCCAACTTGAAGGGGCCCTGGGACACACCAATAAATGCACACACATAAAAGGATTCCCCATATTCTCCCATATCTTCTGGGTTTTTTGTCTTCCCCCCCACTTCCCATATTTTCCCATCTTTTCCTGGGAATCGACAATGAATTGTGTCTGTGTGTTTCTTCCCCTCCTGACAACGTTCACGTTCGAGGGCGGGGACGGAGGGGGGTCACGAACCCCCTTCCCGACTTCTGAAGGGCTGTGGGGGGAGGTCGTGCCCCCCTCTCCCCCCAGCTTCCGCCCAGTAACCTCCGACGACGCGGTTGCCGATCCTCGATCCTCATTCCTCCCATCCCCCGCCCTTCTCCTCCCCCTCCTCCTTGCTCCCTTGTCCTCCCCTGCTCTCGCTCCCCCTCCTCCTCTCCTCCCCCTCCTCCTCCTTTTCGGTCCTCCGTTTCCCTCCAGTGGATCCCTCGACCTTCGACCGCGCCCGTGCGGGCTTCCCCTCCCTCCCCCCCTCCTGGTACTTGGACAGGCTGGACGCCGGACCAGCCAAGCGACCCACTGGGCTGGAACTCATCTGGGAAGCGACGCGTGGAAAACGAGTCATGCTCGTTTCACCACGTCGACGCCACGAGGCTTCGCTCCGATCCCCGGGGGCCAGCTCTCCGTCCCGCAAACACACACACACACACCAGCCACACACACACACACACACGCGCGCGCACACACACACACACACACACACACACACACACACACACACCAGCCACACCCACACACCCCGAACCATATGACTGGACCTGTCGCATTGGTATTGTCGCTCGTGCTGGCTCGGAGCACCCGCGTGGTCCCCAGAGCCGCCCGCGCTCGGATCGCCGTGGGGCGCGGCCCGTGGGCGCTGAGGGGCAGCACCCGTGTTGCGTGTGGCGCGTGCCTTTCGAGTTGGCGACCGGTGGGTCGCAGATGCGTTCCGGAGGTGAGGCTTGGGCTCGGGTCGGGCGAAAGGGGGGGATAGCAAAGGGGGGGTTTGAGAATCAGCTCACGTAGCTGATTTTCCCGGCGCCTCCCGGCGCCGGAGGCGGCTGTATCGAGGAATGGGCCCCTCGGTGAGGCCGAAACCAACTGCATGCAGCAAATCTCGTAACCCCCCCTTTCCCAATCCCCCCCTTTCGTCCGGCCCGAGTTCCGGAGGTGAGGCTTGGGCCCAGCCGGGGAGGCAGGAGGAAGAGGAAGAGGATGATGTCATGGCACGATTGGCTCAAGATGCGTTCCAGGGATTCCAGAGTATCTGGCGCGGCCCCCGTTTCCGCACTCCGTGTGGAGCGTTCGGAAATCCGCCGACCCCTTGTGGGTCTCTAGGCGTGTGAGATAGTTCCCCCCCCTAACCTCCCCCCTGGGACCCCAAACCGGAGATTCGACCCCCCCCCCCGGGCCCACGACGAGCGCATCACGGGGCTCTTTTGGGCCCAAAAGGGGATCAAGACGGGCCAAGAAGGCCCCAAGACTCCTCCAAGACGGCTCACGAGAGCTCCGAGGCGCCAAACGAGCGCTCCCAGACGCCCAAGATGGCCCCAAGACGAGCCCAGAGGCCTCCAAGACGGCCCAAGAGGCCTCCAAGAGCAGTCCTCAGAAGGGCCGAAGCGCCGAAAATCGTCAAATTCCGATGGGAAAACGTACATTTAGATCATATACTACTTGTCGGCCTTCACGGCGTTGAAGACGGTCCCAGAGCACCCCAAGACCGCCCCAAGAGGCTCCCAAGAGGCGCCCAAGTCGGCCCAAGAGGGCGCCAAGACGGCCCAAGAGGCCCCCAAGACAGCCCAAGAGGGCCCCAAAACGGCCCCAAGAGGTGCCCAAAAGGGGGAGCCCGAACCGACAATCCGAGCCTTCCGCCCCAAGACGGCCCCAGAATGCCCCAAGAGGCCCCAAGAGGCCCACAAGAGGCCCCAAGAGGCCCCCAAGAGGCTCCAAAACGGCCTCAAAACGGCCCCCAAGAGGCTTCGAAACTGCCTCCAATAGTCCCGCAAGAAGCCCCCCAAGAGATCCCAACGATCACCGCACAAGTCTCATATCAACAACCCAGGCACGGTGGCGGGGTTGCGTTTGCGCACAAAAAAAGGATTCGCGCTCTCGAGGCCAAGATTGCTCCAAGACGGCCCAGGATGGTTCCAAAACGGCCCAAGATGGCTCCAAGACGGCCGAAGACAGATCGAAGACGGCCCAAGATGGCCTCAAGATGGCCTACAAGGCTTTCACTATCGCCCACGAAGTCTCCAAGAAGACCCCCAGGACATCTGAAAGAGGCGCACATTACGCATTTCATTACATGTCCATTGCGTTGTTGAACATGTTTGCACTTGTTGCCTTTCCCGGCTTCCGTCGGCTCACGTAGCCCAAAGAGCCTCCAAAATCGCCCTACGGCGCCCCAAGAGGGCCTCAAGACGGCCCCAGAGAATCCCAACACGGCCCAGGACGCCTCCCAATCCGGCCTAAGACGACCCCAAGACGGCAAAACCTCTCTCCAAATTGGTCCCAAGCTGGTGCAAGACGCCTCTAACCCAAAACCCATAACCCAGAGCCTCGTTTCTGTGTCTCCTTCCTCCTTCTCCTCCTCCTCCTCCACCTCGGCCGCCAGGTGGGTTCAAAACTGCTTTCCAGAGGTCCCCGAGAGGCGTGCCGCGAGATCCCTATACACATACAAAAAGCCTCTAACCCATAGCACATATCCCAGAGTTTCGTCTCTGTGTCCCCGTCCTCCTCCCCCTCTCCTCCTCCTCCTCCACCTCCTCCTCGCTCACTCCTCCTCTTCCTCCCCCGCCTCGTCCTCTTCCTCACCGATTCTTCTTCCCCCATCCTCCGCCTCACCCCCCATCCCTCTCTCCCCCTCCCCCTGTCCCCCCCCGCGCGCGCGCCCCCGATTGGGCATCATTTGCAGGTCTTGCATATCAAGGTGCCTTTTTTTTTGCATCGCGTGCGACGTTGGCAGGGTTCCCGGAGAACGCCGACTTCGGTAGTCTTCTCTTGCACGCGCCGCCGCACTGATACGCCTGGCAACTGCGGGCTGTGAACCCGAGGTTCTTGCAGCCTCCGCACGCCACTTTCGCTCCTTTCGCCGCTCGATGATCTTCCACTTGCTTATGCTTCAAATGTTTCGTGTCCGAGAACGCTTCTCCGCACGCCGCACACGTCAGTGGCTTCGCGTCCGCCTCGGCCTTCCGCTTGCGATTCGCTGCCTCCGCATTCCCCCGTCGCACCTCTTTCTCTCGTTCTTCCGCGCATTTCCGACAGAGCCTTTCCCCAGCAGCATTGTGCTTCTTCTGAGCTTCCGACATATCCACCTTTTCGTCATATAGCGACAAGCACTTACCGTTCGTAGATCGCACTGTTCCGACGCTCTGATTCCACTTCGCGCTGTCTTTCCGCGAATTCTGCTTGGCTTTGATACCGCTGCACTTCGCGCAGCACGTTGTCCTAATCCTTTTCGTTTCCCCGTCGTCGGCCGCCGCGTCCGCGTTCCGACCGCTACCATGGCGTGCCGCGTCGTCACTCTCTCCTTTCGTCGCCCACCCTCTGCGCGTCTTGCGCCATTTCTCGCCCGCGCTTTTCATCTCCTCCGTGCACTCTTTGCAGAGCGCCAGCCTTTCCTTTCTCTGGAACTCGCACTTCGTGAACGCCTCTACCAACAACCTCCGCCGGCAGCGCTCGCACTGGTCTCGTGGCATTAGTTCCTCTTCCCACTCATCCCACTCCACTCTCTCCCCGCGAAGCACCTGCAACAACTTCTTTGCGCCTGGCATCTCCCCCGCGTTGTGCGGCTTCCTATCGAAAGGCCTGACAATCAACAAGTCCTCCCGCCTCCGAGCGCGTGCGATGGCAACGTAACTTGCCATCCAACTCACGCCGCGCCCTCTTTCAAGGTCTGCCATCACTGCAGCCATGGTCCGGCCCTGCGCAGAATGCGCCGTCACTGCCAAAGCCGGGGTGATCATAAACTGCGTGCGCTTCACACTCAATACTGGATGCTTCCGATATCCGTCCAAGAACCATTTCCGCCCTTTCGATGGGAAGATCAGATGCAGCCCCGGCCCCCACCCTGGCAGGTGCCACTCTTTCGTCTGGAAGTCCAACACAATCACTCTCGGCAGATGCATCAATACTTCCTCGTCGCCGTCTCGAACGACCTCATCCTCGTGCAACGCCCATCCATGGATCGTCGCCGTGCGCCCCCGCAGAAGCTGCTTCTTTGACCGATCCAAGTGATCTCCCAAAGCCACGGGCATCCCCTTCGCCAACGGCAGCCACCCGGGCAAGCTTGCGCATTCCTTCTCGTGGTACCCCAGCCAACGTATCTTGTCCTCTATCGTGTACGGCCGCCTCTGTTCTCCCCCATGGCAAGGGCGGTCCCTGGCTGCGACCCACAGCAACTGTTCTCCGCGCTCCTTCGCCCATTGCGCAGCTCTCTGCTTCCCGACGCGACAACGAATGTCTTGATTCGCATAAATGGCGACTGCTTCAAGGAATTTCTTCTCCCGAAACCGCGCATCTTCTGGTGACGTCGCAACGAGTTTTCTCTTCTCCCGCTGAGCTTTGCAAGCGTCACATTCGAGCTCGTTTTCTTTCGCGATTGCTTCTATGCTTTCGAGACAACGCGCGCTCCCGCACAACGGTGCACCGTTCACCCACGACCCCGGAACATCCGTCGGTCTGCCATGCAAAAAATTGCGCGCGCGTTCCGACAACTCCCCTCGGCGGAACTCGTCCTGCACAGCGAGAAACCACTCGTCATGATTCTCCACGCGTTTGCACTCTGTCAACTCTGTCATTCCCTGCACTGCGCCGTCGCCACCCGCTCCCCAAAAGATATGCTGTCCGTGGTCCTCCGTGGCACCCGGTGCGTATTTCCTTGCGTTTTTCAAGTGCGACGTCGGAAGCGCATTAATGGCTGTCCCTGACGGCGGGTCCAATTGATAGAAATCCCAGCAGAACAGCACATACACGCCCCCGAAGGGCCTGGCCATGCCGTCTTCACCTGCTTTCGTGTCGCTTGCAGCTGACATGCACGACCGCAAGTGTGAGTCTAGCTCTGCAATGAAGTTCGCGCTGACCATGCTCACCTCGTTTCTTCCAACCCATTCGTCTGGCCGCTGTGTAAGTACCCCGGCGCTGCGACCAGCTCTGTCGTCTCGCGGTACGTGGGCCATGCCTTCTCTACTTCCGCTTCCCTGCCCCTCCAGCCTTCTACGTCAGCGTACTCTTGGCGACTCGCGTTTCTCTTGTACCTCTTGTGCTCTTCTACCAGGCCCTTCAGCAAGTCTGTCGGCAGCTGTAGCAGTTCGTGCAAGGGGGCATGCTGGTGCAAACACTGAACGAAGACTTGCACGTGCAGATGCAGACTTCCAGCCGATTTCTGAGCTTCAATGCTGCCGTACACCCCGTCAACACGCCCCAAGCACCCGCCCGCCGCCGTCGCGTTGCTGCCAAGCAAGTCTGCGCACTCGCAGTCCGGGCAATTCGGGCAATACCGCATACCCAAAATGTACTCGAAGACAAGGCCCACGATGACCCGAAACCCGTCAACGCCCGCCAGCGGGCCCCGAGCCAGCACAGCTCTTCTCTCGTCCGACGCGGGAACGGCATCTGCCAACATCTCCAGAGGCACTGCCATGTCCACGTCGTCGCCACCCTCTGCCCCCTCTGTGCCCGATCCGCCCTCGCCCGCCTGCTCGCTCCGATCTCTTCTCACGGCATCTCCAGATATTTCGTCCTTGTGCGCCAACGACGGCTCCCACAACCCACCGCGCGTTGGGCCGTGACGCGCCCGCGCTTCACGACGATTCACGGGGTCCTGCTTTCGCGACCGCGACAGCCGCACCATTACCAGGTTGTGTCTCTCGTCAGGGGACATGGTGAAAAATAGCGGTACCCCATGGGCGACTCGAGCAGCATGGGTGTCGTACCTCATGAGCGTCCGCACCTCGTTTGTCCCTTCAATCTTGCGAGCGACCGCCCTGGCTCCCGCAGCCGACCGTTTCGCTATCGGATCGAGCGACTGCGCATATTTCAGCTTCGAGAAATCTCCGCGCACGTTCGTGGTCTTGCCGGTTGACGGATCTTTGTACGTACCATGCAAAGCTTCAACGATGCTCGCGGCTGCCTTCTCGAATTCTCCTTGCGAGTACTGGCATTCCGTCTCTCCGTACTTTCTATAGTCCGCCAAGCGGACAGACCGGGCCAAATTCACGGAACTTTGAAACAAGACCGACGACAACGTAAAACCAAACCGCCATTCACGCCGGAACTGAGACTCCACCCGGCGCGTCATGATGCGCGCCCACAGAGCCAACTCCACGCGGGGCGCCGCGGGCCCACGTCGACGTCGCGCATTTTCCTGCCACTCAGGCATGTCCGGCATCCCCACCCCGTACTTGAAACAGAAAGGAAATGCAACACCGAAAAACCACGGAACAAACTGATTCATCATCGCACGGCCTGGATACACTACGTACCGAATCCGAGACGCGTCCGTTTTCATCATCTCCCAAAGCCGATACTGCAGTGTCTTCATGTCAGCGTTGGCCGCCTTGTCTCCCATTCTGCTCGTCCTCGCCAGAGCGCTCTCGTCTCTATCTCCACCGCATGGGCACTCCGGCCTGTCACACCTGCCCGCCCACGTACTTGCCAGACGCAGTGCGAGACTTTTGGCTTCCATTGCCAATGCACCTGCCTGTGCGGCACTGTTTGCGCCTGGCTCTGGACCTTCGTGCCCAGCGGTCGGCGACCTGCCAGACGCATGCTCAAACGCACCCTGCCTCAACTTGTTCGCGTCCACTTCGTCCACCGACGACTTCTCCATCATGACGGCATTCGGCGTGCGCAAGTCCATGTCGCGCGCAGCCGCTCCTACAGAGTCTCGCGCCCCATCACAGGGCGTCGCATCCTCCTGCACCATGAGCTTGTCCAACGTGGTGTCACGCGGCAGCAGCCGGACAATCTCAGGCGGCACGCCGCCCTTCGGCAACTGCTCAGCCTTTCTCTCCATCGCCTCCACGTTGACGTTCACGAAGGCCCGGTGCCCGCGCTGCTTCATAATCTTGATGTGGCGCTTCACCACTTCGCGCCGCGCGTTCGCTTGATGTACGAAACGCGGCAGGTTATCCTTACTAGTGGCGTCGTTGATTTTCAGAAAGATCTGCACCACCGACCCCGACCGATCACCCACGATCGGCACCGCCGAGTCGCTTCCCTGGCGCCCTTCCTTCTCGAGCTGACGGAGCTCTCGCAATATTCCCTGCCACGGTAACGTGAAGCTCGTGGCATTCCCTCGCGCTGCCAGACGCCCGTTGTGGAGCCCTGCGGCGCTGTCAAACTGGTTCCCCCTGCCCGCGCTGCTTTCCTGGTCGTTCTGAAACTTCACCTCCAACGAAAAGCAGATCATCGACGTCATGCAAGGGCTGCAGCAAATCATTTCCATCACTGTCATGCCTTCTGTGTACATGCGATCTGGCGCATAGAACGCCATCAGGTCATTCGCGAGACTCCGGCGCGGGACTGCCGGGATCGCAGTGGCTCGCCACCGACATGGCGCATCCACCTCTGCCTTGCATTCCACGCAAAGAGGCACTCTGCATTCGGGACATGCCGTTCTCTCTCTCTTCTCCTGGCACCCCTTGGGGCACTTTTCATCTTCGGGACAACACAACATTTGCACTTCACCGCGGGACGTCGGCACTGCCACGAGCCAATCGGTGAAGTCTTCTCGATACCACGCATCTCTTTCCAAGTCCCACGCTTCGTTTCCTGGTTCGAATCGGTAGTCTCGCAAGTATGCGTCGACGCTGAAACGCACTTGCACATCCGGCATGGCCCACTCGCCAAAATGACTCACTACACTCGGGTCCGCTTCGGATGCCTTGAACGGCTGTTCCCAGGAAATCTGGTTCCCTCGTCGGCTTTCCACCCACGGAAAAGTGCACGCGCATAAAATGCAGATCGGAGAAGCTATGCTCTTCTGCTTCCTTGCTTCCGCGTACCTGGCCAAACTCCATCTGTGTAGAGAATGCGCCGACAGCGGCGCACCACCCCGAATGGCATGTGCCACGATCGCATGGTACGCTGCTTCGACACGGAGATCCTCGTCCTCGTCCTCAAGATAAATCAAGTTGGCAATTGGCATAACGACGGTACCGTGCTCCTCGCGGACGTGCTCGCACAACTCTTCTACGTTCTCCGGCTGCCACATACACCCCACAAACGCACAGTGAACGGCTGGCAACTCGACAGCCATGTCCTCGGCCAATGCTCGCGACCACGGTTGGGCGGGATCGTCTGGATCCGCAGGCACCGTCGGGCGTCGCCGCACACTTGCCGCAGCAGCTGCCACGAGGAGTTCTCGTGCCCGCCGAGGATCTTTCGACGACGCGTCTACGCCAACAATGTAGAATGCCTTTTGCATGGCGTCTGCCGCGGGCGTGCCGTCATCGCCGCCCCCCTCGCCCCCCGAAGGGCCTTCCCTTTGCCGTGCTGCCCCGTCTTGCCCGCGACCAGCGTTAAGAGATCGCACTGGCGGTTCTCAGCGAGGCTGCACGCCGCGGCAATGCCGTCGCTTCTGGGCAGGATGGCATAACAAAATCCAGCGGCAACCTGCGCGCACCCCAGGTCCGCGGCCAGCGCAGGAACAATGCACCGGCAGCTCTCAATGAAGCCCTATGTCATGGCAATGCCGTCGCTCAAGGGCAGGACGGTGTAGCACAATTCAGCGGCAACCTGCGCGATCGTGAAGTCCGCGACCAGCGCGGAGATAACACACCGGCAGTTCTCTTCCAACAAACATGGCAAGTCAATGCCATCGCTCCTCGGCAGAACGGTATAGCATAATCCGGCGGCAACCTGCGCGTGCATCAAATTCAGCGCATTCACCAAGTCCGCGGCCAGCGCTGAGCAATCGCACTGGAAATTCTCGTTCCAACCGCGCGACGCGGCAGCGCCGTCGCTCCTGAGCAGGAGAGTGTAGCAAAATCCAGCGGCAATCTGCATGCGCATGAAGTCCGAGACCAGCGCAGGGATCGCGCACTGGCAGTTCTCATTGAAGCCGCATGTCACGGCAGTGCCGTCGCATCGGGGCAGGACGGCGCGGCAAAATCCAGCGGAAGCCTGCGCGTGCACCAGGTCCGCGGCCAGCGCTGGACGAGAGCACTCGCGGTTCTCACTCGCGCCACATGTCGCAGCAAGACCGTCGCTCCTGGGCAGGACTGCATAGCAAGATCCAGAGGCAACCTGCGCGACCGTCAGGTCCGCAACCAGCGCGGGGATATCGAACTCACCACCCTCATCCAAACCGCGTGTCTCGGCGGCGCCGTCGCTCCAAGGCGGGGCGGCATAGCAAAATCCACCGGCAACCTGCGCGCACACCAGGTCCGCGGCCAGCGCGGGGATAACGCGCCAGCAGTTCTCTTTGAAGGCACATCTCACGGCAGTGCCGTCGCTCCTGGGCAGAACGGTATATCATTATCCAACAGCAACCTGCGTGGCCACCAGGTTCTGCGCGTTCACCAAGTCCGCGGCCTGCGCTGGGCGATGGCACTGGCAGTTCTCGTTCCAACCGCATGTCACGGAAGTGCCGCTGCTCCTGGGCAGGACGGTGCGGCAAAATCTACTGGCAACCTGCATGCACAACAAGTCCGCGAACACCGCAGGGATGACGCACTGGCAATTCTCATTGAAGCCGCATGTCACGACACTGCCGTCGCATGTGGGCACATAGGTATACCAAAACGCAGCGGCAACCTGAGTGTACACCAGGTCCGCGGCCAGCGCGGGGATAACGCGCTGGCAGTTCTCATTGAAGCCGCATGTCACGGCAATGCCATCGCTCCTGGGCAGAACGGTATAGCAAAATCCAGCAGCAGCCTGCGTGACCATGAGGTCAGCGACTCGCGCGGGAATATCGGACTGGCAAATCTCATCCAGGCCGCATGTCACGGCAGTGCCGTCGCTCCTGGGCAGGACGGTATAGCACAATTCAGCGGCAACCTGCGTGTACACCAGGTCCGCGGCCACCGGGGGGATAACGCACTGGCAGATCTCATTGAAGCCACATTTCAGGGCAATGTAGTCGCTCTTCGGCAGGGGGGCGTAGCAAAATCCAACAAAAACCTGCATGCACATCATGTCCACGACCGGCGCTGGGCAATCGCACTGGCAATTCTCGTTCCAGCCGCAGGTCGAAGCAATGCCGTCGCTCTGGGCGAACGCTATGGGGGACAATTCGAATTGTGCCAAAACAGCTGCGGATCGTCGTCTTCGTCGTCGTCGTCGCGGTCGTCAACGTCGTCGTCGTCGTCGTCCTGGTCGTCGTCGTCGTCGTCGTGGTCGTGGTGGTGGTCGTCGTCGTCGTCGTCGTCGTCGTCTTCCTGATTCTCGCATCGCTGACGCGCGCGCACGAAGATTCAAGCGACAACGCTTATCGGCCATACCTCGGCGAGGCTTCCAAGCAGAGCGAGCCCCGCATCGGGCCAGAGCTAGAGCGGGCGCCCAGACGGGAACGGAGGGGGCGCAGGCAGCGAAACGATGCGACGACGACGACGACGAGAACGACGAGGACGACGAGGACGACGACGACGACGATCACGACGAGGACAACGTCGACGACGACTTCGACAACAGGTCCTACAGGGACCCTTCAAGACGACCACTTTCCGAGGACGTGTCAGGTGAGAGCCTCCATCTTGGAGATCCGAAGATTCGGCCAGCGATTTCAACATCCACATTTCGCGAGGATGCCTCCAACGAGCATTGCAAGTGCCCCATGCTTTATCGGGGGTTTCGAAGACTCGCGCGTCTGCGGATTCCCGACGCATGCGCCTCCGGGGCCTCCAGCCGTGCCAGAGCCGTCTCCTCATCCGCCCCAAAGGCCGCCATGAGGCCTAAGAACTGGTAGTGTTATTGAGGACCCGGCTGATGATGCTGTTTGGGCATGATTATGATTATGATGATGTGATGATGTGGGTCATGAGTATGATGACGATGATGGCGACAACGACGACAGTGATTATGACGAGGATGATGCCGATGATGATGATGATGCTTAGCATGATGATGATGGTGGTGATGATAATGATGATGATGATGATGTTGGTGACGGTAATGATGATGATGATGGTGGTGATGATGGTGATGACGAAACGCCCTTTGAGGACGCGGGGGAACACCAACCGAACCACCGCTTCGGCCGCACGGAGCGTCCTAGCTCAGCCCCCGGTCACGCGATGGCCTCGGGCTCGTAACGTGCCTGGACCTAGCAATGCGAAACAAACCGCGAACACCTTGTCGGTTCCCAAGCGTGTGAGACTCGTCCCCTCCACAGCCCCGAAGTTCCCCGTGCGGGCTGAGGGATGCCCCAAAAAACAACCCCGCCTCACCAAAAAAGTCAAACCCAGCAAGAAATATACGGGCCCCAATCCAACGCTTCCACCCTTTAGGCATCTCCAGAACGATGCCAAGATTGCATTAGCGTCCTTTCTTTTCCGATGGGCCCCCCGGGGCCTCGAGATGACCCCAAGCGGATTCCACATGGCCCCAAGAGAGGTCATTATGGACCCCTACACGACTCCCCAACCCGATTCAAGCGAGCCGGCAAGACCGCCAAGATGAGGGGTCGGCGGATGTGGCGCAAGCCTATAGAATCTTGGAAATCCAAAAAGTCTCAAGAGGCCCAAGGACACACAAATAAGTACACGCAATTAACAGGATCCCCCGTATTTTCCGATATTTTCTGGGTTTTTGTCTTCCCCCCCACTTCCCACATTTTCTTACATTTTCCTGGAAATCGAGGATTACTTCTGGCTGTGTGATTCTTTCCCTCCTGAAAGTCGTAGACATCCTCAGCCACATCATGATCATGACCTCCTGCTCCCCTGAAGAGACAAACGAGCATCAGGACCCCGTCCCTCCCCCTCTCTTGGGGGGCGGAAAGATACGGATACGTGTTGTCCCCAGACCTCTCTTGGGGTGCGTTCTGACCAGAATTTCGAGGCGAATCCAGCGGTGACAACGAGGATTCCCCAGGAGGACCAGGAAAGGCCGAAAACGAAGGGGGACAACACGTATCCGTATCTTTTTCTCCCTCCCCCTCTCCCCACCCCGCCGCCATGCTGTGGCTCCCCGCTCCGGAACCTCCGACGTTCTAGACCCGACGATGCTCCATTATGTCATTACCGACTTCGCGAGTCGGGGACGACGTTACTCCACCAGCGGCAAACGCCCCGCGACAGGGTACTCCAGATTTCGTAATAAAGGGAGGGGGGTCTCATTTCGGGGGGGGTCTCTTCCAGGCTATCTTGGAGGGCCTGGGGGGTCTGGGGACGATGTTTTGGAGGGTTCTCCCACGGGGGAGGTCTGAAATGGCTTGTCTTGGAGGGTCCAGACCCCCTCCCTTTTATTACGAGATCTGGAGTACATCAAATGCATGGGCGGGTCGTGAAACCGTGGGTCCGAAAAAAAAAACACATCTCTTGACAAGCCGATGCTTACTTCCGCGGGGCTCCGCCTGCCTTCACCCACCTTCCACCGGCGGGGGCGGCCTCCGCTTGACTTCCGCCGCCGTCTCCCGGCTTCCGGAGGGGAAGAGACGTCACCTGCTCCGATCCTAAAAAGGCGAGCCTGCTTCGGGAGCGGCCGGTCTGCATGGTGAGCTCCATGGCCACGCCCAGGGCTTCCACAGAACCAACGGCACGCACTGTCGCGCGCGGCGAGGCGGGGCGGCGGCGCCTGGCGGTGCCAGCCGACGAGGCTCGAGGACGCCAGGCGGCGGCCGATCATCGCCTTCGGCCCGCACAAGAGTGGGTCAGCGCCTGATGCTCAAAGCTTCAGCCGAAGCCGCCGATCGTCTCGCCTCAGCCTCGGCCCCCTGCCTCCCCTCCTCCTCCTCCTCCTCCTCCTCCTCCTCCTCTTCCTCCTCCTCCTCCTCCTCCTCCTCCTCCTCCTCCTCTTCGTCATCATCATCAACCTCATCATCATCATCAGCAGCAGCAGCAGCAGCAGCAGCATCATCAGCATCAGCATCAGCATCATCATTATCATCATCATCAGCATCATCGTCGTCGCCATCATCATCATCATCATCATCATCATCAGCAGCAGCATCATCAGCATCAGGATCGTCATCATCATCATCAACAGCACCAGCACCATCGTCAAGATCAGCATCATCATCCTCATCATCATCGTCATCATCATCACACCATACCATGGTTTCTCCTGCCTCCTCCTCAACCGCATCCTCCTCTTTGTGCCCAGGCTGATGCTGGCTTCGATGTCCCGCGTGGCTTACATAGTTCTGTCCATACATGACCCTACGACTGCCTAATCGTAACGACTCTTCTGAGAGTCGTGCCTGAAGGGGGCTGTGGGAACGCAACAAAGTACAACAACAAACGACGAGCCTGTGCCATACTCAGCCGCAGCGAGCCGCACATTCAGAATCAAGTCAGAAGCAGGCAACACAGCATCGTATACGCGCACACCAGATACTCATGTCAGCACTCTCGCCTCGACGGGACTTGCATCCCAGTAAGACCGCAGCCCAGATGATCAATTCTGGCGACTGGAGGGGTTTTGAAGGAGCGCCGATGCGAAGCAGGAAGCCAAGTAGCGCCAGGTCGAGGAAAGGGAGAGGGGCAGGGAGTCCAGAGGAGGGGTTGGGATTGGATGACAGGGGAGTGGGAGGGTGCGGAGAAAGGACGAGAGGGAAAGGAGAAGTGAGGATGTGCGAACTCGAACAAACGCGTGCGCCAACACCCTGGAGTAGCTAATGCTCTCGTGCTGCGCACCGCCACAGAAACGGGAAGTGCCGACAAAGAGATGGAACGAGGCACTCCGCTACAGGGATCTATCGAATACTATCTATCAGCAACTCAGCACCTGCCCAT